TTTCAAATGTCCTACTAATTAATTAAATGGGATATAGAGTCTAACCCATCACAAATAAATAAAGAATGGAACTTACAAGTTTCGTTAGTGTAAATTTCCTTGGTTTCTAGACATCTGGCCTACTTGTTTGCTTATAGCCCATCCGCAATTCAGCTAACGTGCGCCATTTTCGGATTTTTTGACCTTTGTTTTTAAAGACCGTTCGCGACCGCTTACGTCCGAATATATGCATGTTGATATGGACGCGATCGGTTGTGTACACAGCTCAGCGGTAGGCTATTGCGTACGAGCGTTTTTAGAGTTTGGTATACATTTCAGCCCAACTATTAGCCGACAGAGGTGGCGGAGCATTACTATATAAGTCCAAAGTATAATATTCAATTTAGCAATTTTGGGGTCTTAATAAATAATAATAATAATATTAATAATGATACTAATAATAAGCATTTCGAAAGTCTATCTAGAAATTTGTACGGAATAAGAGGCCTAGGTGCTTTAAACCTGCGATAAAGCAATAAATGAAAACGTCTGCGAGATAAGAAAACTACCCGTCAGATGTTGCGCAAGAGCCACGGGTCACGAGTCACGTATGTTTTCACCGGGGCCTAGACAACTCGCCACAAAAACAACCCGCCCCAAGACAGCTCGACACAATACCCTGGACATCTCGCAACAATACCCTGCACAACTTGCTACGGTCGAGTTGTCCAGGGTATTGTGGCGAGATATCCAGGGAGGGTATTGTGTCGAGTTGTTCAGGGGTGAGCTGTCTTTGTGGCGAATTGTAGCGCATGTAGAAGTCAGTGTATGGTGTGCGTAAAGTGCGCAGTTTTGATGTCATCGCAATCGAGGAGGGAATCATGCTGCCGTCTCTGTAAAAGAAGGAGGAAAAAGGGCTTTAAAAGTTAGTTTTGAATTCTTTTTTTCTATTATAAAAATAATTTAATAATCTTAAATACTGTAAAATGTAAGACAAATATAACATAACCTATGTTATGTTGTATTTGTCTTACATTTTATGATCTTAATACTAAAAAAAATCCACCCCGTGCATACCACATACATGCAGTGCTAGAGGTCCATACGCATTAGCATGGACTCTCTATGCTTTGCTGGAGTGGGTGTCTGAGCTGAACGATTTTTCAATTTTCAATTTGGGATCGTTTTTCACCGTTTTTGTTTGTTATTTGAATAAAAAATGTAATCAGAATAATACATTTCAAATTTCAAGTCTCACCGATGTTTCTATCAAAAGATACAGCCCCTCCAAAACGCTGGTATATTCATAGACCGAAAGCTTCAGTCTCTATACCGTCGGTTGTTCCACTGAGACTACGTCTGGCTCCACTAGACCTCCGGTTATAGAGACTGAACGATCGCCTATGCCAGCCTATGTTGAAGATATCACGGCTAGATTTTAGCCGCTAGGCCCCTCCCACAAACATGACAAACTTGCCACGGCCGTATTGTTATGCCCCCAAAATCCCCCAAAATGTCATTTTACCTCGTGCATATCCAATTTTGAATTAGGCCTAGGCTATAATACATCGGTTCCACTTACTAACTTGATTGAAATAATCCGATTAATGGTCCCTTTTAAGGAAATTATGGGTCAAAATCGACATCCATGTTGAAAATCTTGCAAGCCGTGTTAAACTCTCGCTGCCGTCAATCTCATCTCTTCTAGTCTACGCCGAAGGCAAAATGATTATGAAGGAAAAACTGTGATAACGCCATTACCAACGTGTAGATGGCGCACAGTTTTTCCTTCATAATCATTTTGCCTTCGGCACCCTTTTCTTTTCCGACATTTCTCCCCCGATTTTCTTTATTTAGATCTAATTTTCTGATTTCTAAATTTGATAACTTAATAGTAAATACATAATTTACGGACTTACTGATATGAATTATCCAATTTGTATCTCAGAACCGCGAAGCAGTACGTTCATGCAATCGAAATATTACCCGGCGGCCGATATATTTCCGGATCCACCTACCAAAACATAGCCAATGGCCAATCAGAGCACTCGTTTCGTGGGAGTTCGTTGGTCAAGCCGGGCTGACTCGTTGTTGTTGTGTTTTGGTTTATTGGCGATTAGTCAGTAATTTGACTATTGTCACCAATAGCTACGTCAGTAACATCAGTAATCTAAGTTTTAAAAAATGTATTTTACTGCCATTTAAGTGTCATCAAATATCACTAAAGTACAGATTTTGAGTGAAATTAGTTGAGTTTTGTACAGTGGTGTTTGAAATGTTTAGAATCAAAAGCACAGGTTTTACTACACAGCCAGGATAGTGATGCTCCTATCTGTGGATTAAACATGGACTCTGCATTTTCGCAGACGTTTCGTATTTCCGATCCGCGCTTTGGCAATCGTCTTCGTAAACGCGGACCGACGCATTTTCTCTGCATTTTCGCAGACGTTTCATATTTCCGATCCGCGCTTTGGCGATAGGAAAAACAGATTCTACAATGAATTTCTTTCTTTCCTCTCCTTTTTCTTTTTTCTCATTCTTTCCTTTCTTTTCCTTTCTTTCCTTTTTTTCCTTTCTTTCCTTTCTTTCCTTTCTTTTCCTTTCTTTCCTTTCTTTCCCTTTCTTTTTCTTTCTTTCTTTTTCGTTCTTTCTTTTTTGTTTTTCCCTCTCCCTTTTCTCTTTTTTCCTGACAGCAGCGCAATTTTACCAACAATATCCTGACAGGTGGGGGCCGCTCGCACCCCCCTCCAGCGACGCCCCTGCTGATTTCGAGCGCAGACGACCTGGAAAAGGCAGCCATCACTGTTAGTAATTATGTACTTTTTTGTGAAGACCTACATGTGAAATGCTATCCAAATTATAAGCCTTGGGTAATGAAAGAATTGCAGGCGCTTTTCCGGAAAAAGAAAGTTGCATTTCAAAACCAAGATCTAGTAAAGCTGAAATAAATAAATGAAATTGTGACGAAAGAAATTGCACGATCCAAACAGAAGTACAAAGAAAAGCTTCAAAACTGTTTCAAGTCAAATGAGGCCAGCGACGCGTGGAAATGTCTACGTACCTTAACTGGGTCAGGACATCAACATAAACAGACTCTTGCCTTTGTTTCCAGCTGCCCCATCGCAATCGCGAATTAACTTAATCATTTTTATGCCCGTTTCGATACAATGGACTTTTCTTCCGAAATTCAGTCCAGCAGTTCCAGTCTTGTAATCTTCCCTGTAACAATAGTCCTCCCACGATTGCCAGGGAAATTGTTGCATCATTATTCAAACGCATGAAGGCAAACAAAGCAATGGGCCCCGATGGAATGAATGGTAGACTGCTGAAACACTGGTCGTCAGCTGTTTCAATGAATCCAAGTCCCCCGCCACGGCGCCACCTGAAACTCATTGATTGCGATTTCTGTACCGAAAACAAACCATGCGTCTCAGCTGAATGATTATCGACCAATCGCGCTTGTCTCAATCATCATGAAATGTTTTGAGAGACTCGTGATGCAGTTTCTCTTCCCATCAGTGTCCCATCTTCTTGACAAACTTCAATTTGCATATGAACCTAAGAAGTCTGTTGATGACGCCGTCATAACACTGATTCAAGAAATCGCACAACATACCGATAAACTTGGATGCTATGCAAGAGTCTTGTTCACAGATTTTTCATCAGCATTTAATACTATGCAGACCCATATTCTCTTGCAAAAGTTACTTAGGATGAACGTACCACCTTCTTTAATTTTGTGGAAAAAGGACTTTCTTACAGACAGGACTCAAAGAGTTAAAGTGCAAGGGGTTTTGTCAGATTCAATATCTATCAATACCGGTGCCCCTCAAGGATGTGTGCTTTCTGCTCTTTTATTTATTTTGTATACTAATGATTGCATGTCTAGTAATAACGATGTTCGCTTTTTCAAATATGCAGATGAAACTGCAATCTTGGGGATGATCAGAGGTAATGAAAATAACTATCATTCAAACATAGAGCAGTTTATTAAATGGTGTGATGATAATTACCTTCAACTAAATCGGTCCAAATTGAAAGAAATCATTGTTGACTTTAGAGTTGCTACACAACAACACTAACCAGTGAAGTTCAAAGATGAAAACATTGAAATTGTTCCAAAATACAAATATCTGGCACAACGATTGATAACAAACTTACCTGGCATGATGCGTGTACGTCCATTGTGGCGAGGGCCCAAACAAGAATTTTCTATCTTAGGAAACTGAGCTCTCTACATGTGCATAGACCTATGACCTATCTTAAGTCTTTTTTACAAATCCATTGTCAAGAGTATTTTTCTTTTCAATTGTGTTGTTTGGTTTGGGGCATGTAGGAAGGATGAATTTAGAAAAATGGAAAGTGTAGTTAAAAGGGCAAGTAAAATAACGGGAAAAAAAAACGAAACTTGGCAGAAGAATGCAAGGCACGAATCCTCCAAAAACCTAAACAGATCATTGCAAATGAGAATCACAATCTAAATTACTTATATGAATTATTACCATCAGGAAGGAGAATGCGCTCATTGAAATGTTGGACAGCATATGTTCCATACTCCATTCCTTTGTACAATCAAATGGAGTGAGGAGCATGTGGGCCCAAGTATCGGCTTGGCATGGTTTTCCTTCCTTCCTTCCTTCATACTGATGTTTTATCCTTTTCATCATTTTCAATGTTTAATACTAGAATATAAGAATATTTCTATCTTGTCTTTCTTTTATTTTAATGGTTCTTCTATGATTATAAACACAACGGTATAGTTTCTCATATATATATTACGTATTTGTACAATGTGTGACCAAAACAAATTTCCATTTATTCTTGTGAATTTGGATGAAGAAAAAGAATTGAATTCAATTGAATTTACAATTAAACTCGAATTTTAAAAATTGCTTCTATTTCAGTTTGTAAAAAATGCTCAGAATGAGTGCAAAGACAATATTTAACACCCACCAACTTATCTCATATTGCCTTAATAAGATCCAATAAATTATCTTTCATTTTTTGTTACATATGAACAGGTCATGGGGAGCAAGAGTTGTTTTCATCCATCCACGTAGAGCTGGCCCAGAGCCTTCCAAGAGAAGTGGTAGAATGGCGAAGGTAAGGACAATATGGCTACCAGCCCCACCTTATAATCCTTCTTGTGTGATGCAGAAACTCTTACAGATAAAAAAGAAAAATGGTGTAAAATAAAGAGTCCTTCTGTATATGTCATACAGGCCATATATACAATATGTTTAGCCTTTAAATAAAAAGATATCACTGAAAGCGCACTTCGTGAAACGTTTAGCTAGCAAAAAAGACATTAATACACCTTTCACATTGAAAATGCTTTTCATTCCACAAGATTAACATCTTCAGACGAATCCGGACAATATGTCGTAGAGGACAATATGTCGCTCAGGACATCTCTGGACTCGTCCCTATTACTGACCTAATATGATCAAAATCACAGTGTCCCCCCTAAATGAACACAATCTAAAAAAAAGAACTTTAGAATTCACAGGTTTTAATCTTTTAGATTTGTAAGCATACAAGAACTGAGTATTAATTTAGCTGTGTGTTATGAGTTACAGAAATGTGAAGTACACTTTGCTTATAAATGCCATTTATTTTCTTTTGGGGGACATTGCATATCCTAAAATTGAAGAAGAAGATATACGTGCTAATCTTTAGTACGGTAATTAATATTTGATTTTCTAGCTCTTACCGGTATGTTTGAATATGTTTATTTTCCTCCTCCTTTACAGATCATATGGGCGTGCACCCAAAATGATCAATGTGGATGTTAACTTTGTTCCGTACAACTCGGACCTCCTTCCGACGGAGAATGATCGCAAACTGCTGCAGCTTCCGGTTTTTCACATATACTGGACAGAATGTCCTGTAAGTATTTAAAGTATTGTAATCAAAGAATAGAATATTTAAATCAATGAATTAAAGAAGAAGTTGAGTTCTGGTCATGCGATTGCATTGTGAAAGAAACGGTGTGGAATCGACCAGAAAACGTTAATCATCTAGCATATAAGTATTTGTGTGTATTGCGAGGTTCTTGAATCATCAAAATGATAAGAAATTTGGCCAAGTCTTGCTAAAGTTACAAACACTGTACCCAGAAAGATATATATGGGACTACACGAACACGTGGCGTAAAAATCCGTCCCGATTTTTACGATGATACATTACATTTTTAGAATAAATAATAAAGGCATTTGAAGAGCCATGCTTTTCAGGGAACATGTTTTATCTGATGTTCTTCCACACTTGCAATGTAACAATGACAACGCTCACAAATTATTTTTCACCTCAATTCCCATTGAATTGTCCCGATTTGTTTTTCTTGAGAGTTTGACATATTGAAGCTTACATCTAAAAGTATTTAACAAAGGCCCTAACTCAACCAGTCCCTGTTTCATTCTTGAATTATGAAGGATAAAAATATCAAAGTTTAATACATGGGGTATGAATAATGTTTTTTGATTTGTTGTCAATAAAGTCGGTGGTGCAATAGGAAAAGACTCATTCACATATGCCATGGTAGATTGTCACGGTCCACTGCCACATTTATGTGTGTGTAAGGAATGAATGGCTGCAGGCAACATAGGTCCTCACTTAAAGGGATAGTTGAGTTCTGTTGCAGAGGGCGCTACACAAAATTAGTTTTTTGTGAGATAATGAAAAACTGAGTGTTAAATTTGAAAGAACATACAATTTAAATGACAAAATCATCTTTGTTTGATCAAAATCGGTTCAGAGACGGCTGAAATATCCATAAATATAACGATTTCTAATACTTGTGTACCACCACAAATATTAGATAATTTGAAAAAGCCGTTGAAAAAACGAAAAAGTGCCTTTTACGTCATATTTCAGCCAATGGCGATGTTGGCTTTTTTGTTGGCATTTTCGTGTTGGTTATATAATGCACAACCAGCCGGCCCATGATTGTTATTTTTAATGAAATAATTAATTAACGGTCACCATATTTTTTTGAAAGTGGAGCTGAAGTGGTATGATCATATTGGCTAAATTTCAAACATTTTGGGGTCTAAAATTACCTTCATAGCAATTTTAGGTTCGAAAAGGGCACTAGAAATGTCAATAAGAGCAATAACCATGCACTTTGAAGGCATTTGTGGTCTGAAAACAGAACTCAACTATCCCTTTATTATCTGTGTGGTTTAACTAAGGCACATGTGAACAACCTTCTGTTCTTTTCAGGATGCTGATGCGTACAAGATGTGTGTGAAGAATGACATCAGTGCATGGCAGCAGTCTTTGAAGGAATGCAACGTCAGTGATTGGTTGATTGTACTCGTGGAGACGTCCAATCCCAAGAGAGGCAACAAACAGAAGTTCCTGCCTCGGACTTCTGTCCTGGACAAGATTAGAAATGATTTCTGCAGTAAACAGTCAGACAGGTACTTCACAGTCTCCGTCTTGCGCTGTTTTACTTTATGCAATTCCTGAATAACTGTAAACATATTGGGTGGTATTCCGGTAGCCCGTACTAAGTTAGCGCGTGCTTAGTTAGTTCACACTTTTATGGAGTGTCTGTTGTGAACTAATTTACCCTGAACAGATTATTTTAATCCTTCAATGAAAAGTGTCCAAAAAATTAATTTTGCACTGAAATAGGAAGAAAAAGATAATATGAGTATAAACTGAATTTCAACAAAGTCCTTGGTAGATTATCTTTGTCATGAACATTGAAGGAGGAAGATGAAACCTAGCATTCCATAGAATTGCGAACTAAAATTCTTGTTTAGTCTGGACTTAGTCCCGGCTTAACTTAAGAGAATACCACCCAATAGATTTACAGACTTTTTCAAGCTTATCTGCTCTAGTTTGGCCAGGAGGGATTAGACCACACTGCGAGGTCACTGACAGGTGGCTATCCCATCAACTCAGCTCTCAAATAACATTGGAAATAGAGGATCATGGGGGATCAACAGGCGCCGATTGGGGAAGTTTTCTATATAGAGGGAGCAAGTAGCTACAAGTAGTACAGTGGGCCTTTTAAAGGATATCAATTACATGCAAATGTGAAACATGTGTTTAGATTACCTTGTGTAATATTTGATTAACAAATATCTTTTATCATATTTGTGGATTTTGACAAAGATAAGTTGTTTTTGTCTGCCAAAGCCTGTATAATGTTGCTAGGCTAGATACATATGAATGGTATAAGTGGTTGCATTCATGAAGTCCTTCTTGATTCTTGATGATAATTTATTTATTTATTTGTTTATTTCTAACCTTTTGACAGGGTAGACCATTCACCAATTAGTAGTGGTCTTCCATGGGGCCCTGAATAAACATAAACATATTTACATCAAAAAGCATAACGATTATACAGAACAGTTAACAAATAATACTTGTTTGCAAAATAAACGTATATCATTAACCTAGTTCAACAGTAATGTCAATAGGAAAATATTGATTAAGCTGCAATTATATGAATAAGTCATGTTAATATTACAGAACATGCACGTAGTGTATGTTCGGCTGAGCCATTTACAAATTACAACTTTGTTTAAACAATCTCTTAAATGAATTGACAGAGGAAGCTGTTCTCATCGAATTAATGTAGTTAATTGAAACCATGTCAACATAGTTTTCATTTCTTGACAGAAATACAGAAGTATTTCTTTCTTTTCGTTGGTTTTATTATGCTTACACATATCAGACCATTGGAGAAGGAGATCACACGGGGCATTAATTCAAATAAATGATTAATTAAAGATAAAGACCAGTTATGGCCATGCGATTGCATTGTGAAAGAAACGTTGTGGAATCGATTAGAAAAGGTTGATCATCTAGCATATCAGTATTGGTGTGTACTGCAAGGTTCTGGAATGATAAGAAATTTGGCCCAGTCTTGGTAAAGTTACAAGCACTGTACACAGAAAGATGTATATGGGACTACGCACATGTGCGCAACACGTGCGTTATATCTATCCGGTCCGAATAGATATAATAATTTACCAAATATATCAATTAGTAGGCGGTTTCTCAGCAAAATTTGTATGATCACGTATTAGTCATAACATATTCTTTCACATGATTGGTAATAAGAGCTTCCATTTCATTTTTTAAGAGGGGGGAGTTTCCAAAACTGGTCTTTACCTTTAAAGTACTTGGCACATTTGTTTGTTGAGCAAAGAAACTGAAAGGAACTGAATGAGGGAGTTTAATGATGGACATTTCTGTGCTTCAGCAGCTATCTCTCTCCGTATTTTTTTTTTTACTCCACACATGGAAAGTAATGTATGGTCAGGCTCCAAAGTACTTGCAAAATCTCATCACAGAATATGTCCCAGGCAGAAATCTCCGTTCTTCTGGTACTAAACAGTTAACAGTCCAAAGAACTATGTCTAATCTGGGAGAAAAGGCGTTTATTTCTGCAGCGCCATCTCTTTGGAATGCTCTTCCACTGAGGATCCGATCACTAGAATCCCTAGAAACATTTAAAAAGAATCTAAAGTCATATATGTTCGCATGTTATTTTAGTTAATTATATGTTGAATGTACATCTATGCATTTTTCCCCCCTTCTAGTTCTTATATGTATCTCATTCTAATTCTATCCCTCTGCGCCTCAGAATAATTTACTAGATCGATGGCGCATAATAAATGCTGTATTATTTTTTTGTTTTGTTGACAGGGTGATAGTTCTCCATGAGCCCAACAACCCTGTTCCTACACCCCGGGCCCAGGACTCATGGCAGCTCTTCATGCAGCGACTGCGCTACCTGGTTCTCTTGGCATATAATCGGGTCCTGGGCCGCTTTGAGGAGCTGATCCGGGCTGAACGGGAGAGTAGAAACAACAAGGACTGGAATTTCTGCCAGTATTTCTTACTTCAGGTATAATCAGAGTCAAAGATTTGTCATTTTCTGTAATACGAGTGGCAGAGATGCCAACCCTCCCGATAATTCACCCCAACTCCCGACCTTACGATCACCATCCTTATCCTCCCGATTTATTATAAAAAATTAAAAAAATGATTTTTTTTTTTTTTTTTTTTTTTTTTTTTTTTTTTTTTTTTTTTGGCGCTTATCAGTATATATATCTGTGAATTGAATGAGAAATATCGTCTGTTAACTTTAGCATGTAGTAAATCCACTATATTAAAAGACAAATTAAGAGTAGCGAAAGATTGTTTCAGCATATGGATCGCCGTAACCAATGCGTGGATATTGACACAGAATCCAAATGGCGGAAAATCAGCTAAAGAAGACCAAGAAATGGTATCAGAAGTATAAGACCGAACACTGTATCATATATATGAAAGGAATTCATCATGCATTTTGTACAATTTGTATGTTATTTTAAAAAAAGTGGGAATTATTGAACTAAATACACATGTAAAATGCTGCAAAATAAGGCTCAGATTGCACCAGAGAGCATCTAGAACCCCAGAGCTTCCAGGGCCCTAAGGCGGGCCCTGGACCCCGGCCGCATGGGTCGGGCGCTACGCGCTCGAGATGTGCGCTACGCGCACATTATTTGGTGTCCGTTACAAATCCTCCCTATTTATGTTTTCTAAAAGTTGGCATCTCTGGAGTGGGCAAATAATTTGTTTTTACATATTTCTTTAGTTTTTAAAACAAATTCAATTTAGGATTTACATACTTATTCAATCAAAGCATAACTTATACTATAAGTGATCATCTAATCTGAAAACAATGAAAAGCATGGAAAATGGATGTAAATCAACTAAATCAACCAGTGACTTTTCGACATATTTGCTTTTTTATTGATTCAGTCTTCTCACTCTTGTACCACGCTAGGCAAATTGACATTGTACAGACCAAAATGTAGCTTTTACAATTGTTTGATTGAAAGTTACCCAAATTCATATGCATTCTATCATTCTTCCAGAACACACTTTTTTTTCTCCATTTAATTTAGTTAGTCATCATGGAGGAGTGTGTGCATTCATGTTTGATACTCTTATGATGGACAAGATGCTCTCTTTATCTAGTTCATCATTACAAATTCCTTTTATCACTTCCTTTCTATTTATGATCTTTTAGCAGGAGTTAGCGATAGCCTATAATGGCTCTTTTATTAATAGTTCATTTGTATGTATTTATGTTTGGTTATTATCATTTTTTTATTTTTTTTTAAATAAATGTAATGCTTCCTGGGAAAAATTTCAATTATTAAAACATATTTGTGGCTTACACCCAGTAAATAAAATTGATTGATCGATCTGTATATATTGTCATATTCTGTATTATCATATTGCCATCCATCTTTCTCTCTTTATCATTATCAAATTGCCATTTGTATCCTTTCAGGAGGAGCTTGCATTCATGTTTGAGACTCTGAGGCAGTTTGAAGATGCTCTGGTACAATATGATGAATTGGATGCTCTCTTCTCCCAGTTCATTATTAACTCAAGTGCAGGAGGTGAGATATGTGGAAGAAATGTGTTAAAGGGCCACTATAACCCAACTAACATAGCCTTTCAAAACATGAATACACAGCTAGATATTAATATTCCAGCTTCTGATTTTTTAGAAAATCTCTAAATTGACAAAAAAATGATAATAACCATCCATTTTTCACAGTTCTCACGCTTGCTGGGCTACGCCCCTCGGAAAAAGGTAGTACGGTCACGTTGCTTGATGATGCACAAAGTCATTGCGGGCATGTCCGATTTTGATAATTTCATAATTAGGAATGACGAAACTGCCAAAACATACTGGGATTATCACGTGCATGTTATTTTTCGAATAAATGTCTTTTTTCCCCAATGAATATCATACTTTGCCTTTTTAAGGACATTTTAATGCCTGAATCACCCTTCTTTTCACCGGAGAGGCGCCTGCAGTGATGTCAAATGCGTCATCACCGAAACTGGGCTTTTTTCTGAGCCTTCTGAGGCGTCATTTTTAAAGCTAGATTCCAGAATTATTGATGATTTCTAGAAAAATCTTTGTCATGTTCGGAAAAAAATTATTCTTCATGACTTTTTTTTTTTTTTAGCCCGTTTTGATTAGAGTGGCCCTTTAAGCATGCAGGGATCTTACTAAGTTAACTTACTTTTCATATTGGAAGAAACGATATGAAAATCTATAAATGAATGTAAAATTGTCATATTGTACTACAGTGAAGTCGTTACAAAAATCATACCGACAGAGCTATAGCAAGACGCTACAGATTGTGCATTTTTATTGTTGGTATTACATGAAGTAGTATGCATAGAAGAGAACATAACAATTTCTTAAAGATGGCCTAAGGAATTTGGGAAGTTAGCTAGATAAAGAAGGGTTCAATCATAAAACTTGACTCATCTCTGATTCATTTTTTAATTCTTTGCGACGACTCAAGGAAGTTGATTAGATAAAGAAGCTTTGTAAGTAAAAATCGGCTGTGCTTTTACAGCTCTATGGTGACTTTACTTTTTATTATGCCGACATGAGAATAACGACATTGGTAGCTGGATCTATAGCCAGAAACAATCAAATGTATAGGCGGGTTTAATACACGGCACCTAGCTTTTAATAAGAACCCTGAGCATTAAATATGGGAACTGACATATTTCATAATCCTCCATTCCTAATCCATCCATGCAATGTGGTGTACTTTATTCATAATGTACGTGAGGGAATATATTTAGTTGAAACATAAAATGCATTATAATTTCATCTTGTTTTCAGAAGTGTTGGAAAACAAGATTTCATGATGCTAGCAAATATTAAAAGGCATGATATTACAGCCAAACTTGTCTTATCTCTGCCAAGATACATGTATTTTTTGTTTTAGAAGCAAGTTTATGCCAATGGTTAATTTTTATGGGCTTTATAATTATGTAGAATAGAGAATATGTGTAAATTCCTCACCCAATGGTCCTACCTAGAACTCAGACTACATCTTATGTTTTTCCATCTTGTTTCCAAGATTCTAGATCTTAACTTCTGTTAAAGACATTATGCATCCCTTGTGTACCGGTAGTAAAGATTGTATTGTGGCATAACCGGGCTCTGCCGGGGTAGCGTTCTGCCTTGCAGTCTCTCAAAACCCAGTCCACGCTCTCGACAATCATTCATCAACGATCTCTCAGTGGGCTCTTACAAAAGTATATCGTGTAAGAAAAACGTAGACTAGCTCTCATTCACTCACTCCCGCAGCCACTGAATGTATGACAGGACTAAAGAAATAACACTTACAGAGTATTTGCAGCTCAGGTAACTTTATCTCGTTTCATGTACCTGTAGCAACGACAGCTCAACATTGACTAACCGACATCTTACGATGTACATGTATATATTTCACAATTAACTATAACGCCCTCTACGTCTTACTAAATACTGGACCAATTATGCTACAGTATTATACTCTTCTCCACCCCTCCCACCATCTTACAGCAACGCCCAAGTGGTTGTCTGACTTCCAAGCCCCGTGCAACTGCTGGGATGGTCTAAACCTATCCAAGCCGGTCAACATGGATAAGCGAGAGCTCTTAGAGAGGGGAAAGCCAACTCTCCTGGACGTCAGGAATTATCTCTTCTCAAGGCAGTCGGCTCTCCTGTTTCTACTGAAGAGACCAAGTGAAGTAGCTTACAGGGCACAGAACTTCATGCATAACTGTGTGCAAGAGCTTAAGATACTGGAGGTAGGAAAAAATAGAGAGAGAGAGAGAGAGAGAGAGATGGAGGAGAGGGAGGGAGGAGGGGGGAAAGATGGAGGGGAGAGGGAGCTGAAAGATGGATTGTTAGCAGAACAGATAATTAAATATGCAGTAGATTGCCTACAGGGCAAATAACTCTGTGTAGGGGCTTAAGATATTAGAAGTAGGACAAGAGAGAGAGTGAGAGAGATGGAGTGGAGGGAGAGAGAGAGAGAGAGAGAGAGATGGCGGGGAGGGAGAGAGAGAGGAGGAGGGAGAGATGGAGGGGAGGGGGAGAGAGAGAGCGCGAGGGAGAGGGAGTGAGATGGAGGCGAGGGAGAGAGGAGGGGGAGAGATGGGGGGGAGGGAGAGCAAGAGAGAGGGGGGAGAGATGGAGGGGAGGGGGAGAGATAGAGGGGAGGGAGAGAGGAGGGGGAGAGATGGAGGGGAGGGAGAGCCAGAGAGAGAGGAGGGGGAGAGGGGGAGTGAGAGAGAGATAGAGGGGAGGGAGAGCTAGAGAGAGCTAGAGAGAGGAGGGGAGAGAGGGAAATGGAGGGAGGGGGAGAGATAGAGAAAGAGATGGAGGGGAGGGAGAGGGAGGGAGAGATGGAGGGGAGGGGGAGAGAGAGAGGGAGATGGAGGGAGGGAGAGAGAGATGGGGGGAGAGGGAGATGGAGAGATGGGGGGGGAGGGGGAGAGAGAGAGAGATGGAGAGGAGGGGGGAGATAGGGGGAGAGAGAGAGGAGGGGGAGAGAGAGAGAGAGATGGAGGTGGAGAGATGGAGGGGAGGGAGAGAGAGAAAGAGAGAGATGGAGGGGAGGAAGCTAACCTTGCTTGATGTAAGAAGTTATCTCTTCTCAAGGCAGTCGACTCTCCTGTTCCTATTGAAGAGACTGTGGGGGGAAGTGTACAAAGCACAAAACGTTATGCATAATTGTATGCAGTTAGGGAGAGAGAAAGGATGAGAAAGAACTAAAAAAAGGAGAAGAGAGGGAGAGAGTAAGAGATTGGTACAGAGTGGGAGCGAAAAAAATATTAAATTTGAGTGTTGGAGGCTACAGAGCACATACACATGTCATTTCAAACATACATGTAATTGTAAAGGAGTGCAGGAGATAAAGGTAAACACCAGTTTTGGAAACGCCCCCCTCTCAAAAAATGAAATGGAAGCTCTTATTACCAATCATGAGAAAGAATATGTTTTGACTTATACGTGATATGATACTAATTTTGCCGGGAAACTGCCTACTAATTGATATATTTGGTAAATATCTATTTGGACCTGATAGATATCGCGCACGTGTCGCGTAGTCCCATATACATCTTTCTGTGTACAGTGCTTATAAATTAAACAAGACTGGGCCAAATTTCTTATCAGTTTAATGACTCCAGAACCTTGCAGTATACACACCAATACTCATATGCTAGATGATCAACCTTTTTTGATCGATTCCACACCGTTTCTTTCACAATGCTTTCCATTTATTCCATCCAGGTCAGTATGCCGCAGGGCAGCATTGCATGCTGGGTATTTCTGAGCTGCCTGGAGGTGCTGCAGAAGTGTGAGAAGAGCAGTGACACAGCACACATCAATACCTATTCACACTATACAGCAAGTCTGTGGCTTTATGCACAAAAAAAGGTAAATACACACCAGGGGCCCGTTTCACAAAGCCTTTTTTCAATGACAAATAACAAAAATCAGTGACAAATCTGCTGATAACCGATCAGAAGCAAGGATTTCACTAGCTTATAACAACAACTGTCATTTGTCACTGATGACAAATTTTGTGAAACGTACCCCAGGCCTGATAATTACCCGATTTAAATCAGTTTCCTGATTTTTTATTTTTTTCCAGATTTTTTAAATATTTTTCTTTCCCGAAATTATCTCTATTTTCTCTAATCTTCAAAAAAAAAAAAAAAAAAAAATCTTACTCAAAAGGGGGGGGGGGGATGTTGTTAGAAGCCATTTTTTCCCCTGCAAATCCTCTTTTTTGTTTTTACTCAAGGTTGGCGTGGTTAAGGGGGGGGGGGGGGAAATATATATATATATTTTTAGTGCTCACTATCACCCCTGATACACACACACACACATCATTCTTTCCAAGCATATTTGTGTAGAGGAAAGTTCAACCATTCTTTTTAGTAGGTGTCGGGTCATGATGTTTGAACGATTGCTAATAAGTATTGATGTGGAGTGATATTAAACTCTATACATGTTTCCAACTATTTAAGGGTTTGATTTCTCTTAAATTTGTTTGAATCAAACACAATATATATTAAACTCGCCCCAAAAAGGACTAGTGTGTCCAGAAATTTATGCTTAGGTATGCATGTAAGTGCTTTTTCATGTAATGTCTGACCAAGCAACAACATACACGTATTATAAATGTAATGCTTCCTGGGAGAAATTTCAATAGTTTAAACATATTTGATGGCCTGGTGGTAGAGTCGCTGCCCGGCAAGCAGTAGATGGCAGGTTCAAGTCCCGCTGGTTCCAAGATTTTTTCTGACTTGTTTTTCAATTACAGATCGATCAATCGATCTTATTTACTGGGTGTAAGCCACAAATATGTTTAAACTATTGAAATTTCTCCCAGGAAGCATTACATTTATAAAAGTTGTTGTCCTATGGCGGACTAATGAATATTAATAAGTCAGAATGAATCAGGAGAGCTTGGATATTTGTTTCTATTCATCGTGACTGTGCCATGGACCAGTGATGGCCTGGTGGTAGAGTCGCTGCCCGGCAAGCAGTAGATGGCAGGTTCAAGTCCCGCTGGTTCCAAGATTTTTTCTGACTTGTTTTTCAATTACAGATCGATCAATCGATCTTATTTACTGGGTGTAAGCCACAAATATGTTTAAACATACACGTATGTATGCAATTCGCAATCTGACCATTGAGATACAAGAATTACAACATGTGAATGTAATAGCTCGTCACTAGTTAAACATGTATACACTTGAAATACATTTGAAAATGTTCCATTTTTTTAAATATTTGTTTGTGTGTGTGTGTGCAGCTGAATGAGTTGGGCGAGCTTGGAGGCTTGATGCCCGATACGTCGCCTACCTCAGAGCAGCTTAACTCGGTGGTAGACCTCCTCTCAGGGATGGGACAAACAGCAGAGGTTGGAGCCAGGGAGAACAGCCCCAATCAGATGCTTAGGGAAGCTCTCAGCTCACAAGATTCTTTCTCAAAACATTACCTGGTTAGTAGTGGACATGCATTGTGTGATTAATCTTTTAAAAATCATTTTATTTTGCTTTAGAGGTATAGACCAGTTTTCGTGAAGAAAAAAATGAAATGGAAGCTCTCTTACCAATCATGTGAAAGAATATGTTTTGACTAATACGTGATGATACAAATTTTGCTGGGAAACTGCCTACTAATTAATATATTTGGTAAATTATTATATCTATCCGGATATCCGCATATACATCTTTCTGTGTACCGTGCTTGTAACTTTACCAAGACTGGGCCAAATTTCTTATCATTTTGATGATTCCAGAACCTTGCTGTACACACCAATACTTATATGGTAGATGATCAACCTTTTCTGATCGATTCCACAACGTTTCTGTCACAATGCAATCGTATGACCAGAACTGGTCATTACCTTTAACACATACATTTAATGCTGATTTACCTCAGACCTTTAATCAAGGGAATAATTATGAAGTTTCTGAGGCTCTGAGAATGGCCTTAATGACATTCTGAAAAGCTTACCATCTGGTTGTTTAGGGTAGAAGATGTTTTTAATGAAAGTGATTAGATTGTAAGAGTTCTTTAGTTTCACCTGATACCTTCATTCAACATTATCTGAATAGCAATTTTCTGATCTTATTCGATATTCTGAAGCTGGATTTAAGTTAAACCTAATTTAGACCAGTCTAAGTAAAATCTAATTAAGACCAGTCTAAGTACAACCTAATTTAGACCAGTCCAGTCTCAAGTCAGGGTTAACTCCATTTCTGTTTCTGACAATATGATTTAGTTACACCATAGTTACACCAAAGTTTAAGTCCAGTCTAAGTTGAACTACAGTTTAGTTGGCATGAAGACATTAGGGACTTTTAGATTTGCACGAAGACAATGTGGATTGCTACGATCGACGTCCTTTTAATGCACTGCCTTGAATGGACGTCACACGTATCAGTCCACGCAAATCTAAAAGTCCCTATTGTCTGCTGCTACTGCACTTGCTCAGCGGTCATTCTATCTTCAAGAAGCCTGAAATTTGCCTCCAAATTTCATGTTTCTTTCATTCAATGGTAGTTTATGCAAAAATGTAACACCATAGCCAGAACCCTCAATAATAATAATATTCCACTTATATAGCGCTTAATACAAATGTCTCTAAGCGCTTTATACTATTATTACCCCGGTCATTGGATTCAGTGCTTGTCCGCACACACTGTGTGCACAATCTCCACTCCCTGGGGAGCATTCCAGCCAGACGTTACTTGACGCTCAAAAACTGTTTGACCAAGAAGGAATTAAATTTGCCACTTATTTTGTCATGATTAACCTTCAGAAGTGCTTTGAGAAAATTTTATCATGCTGGACCTATACAATTTCCATGCTGTGATAGTTACTTCAGTGATCTGCTACCTTGCAAATTTGAGAAAGCGAAATGAAGTCTACCAGCAATTCAAATTTCAGAAAGTGAAATCTAAAACTCTGATTTAAAGGGCCGATATAGACTGGAGTTAGGCTGGAATTAGACCACACTTAAACTGTGGTTTAATTATACTGGAGTTCATAATACAGGCCTATTATGTCAATGAGAAGTTTGCCAGGTTACCATTCTGTTATAATATTTATTACACATTTGTAAAAAGAGATGTTTGATAATTGATGAAATCTATTCACAGTTATTTCCAAAAGTAGCAGGCAGAAAATGAATATTGAAACAGTCTTGACAATCTTGATTTATAAAACACTACATTTTGTATGGTGACACAACTTCAATTATAATAATGATAATAATCTTTTAAAGTCCACTCCAAATTTTATTAAGTTAAACCGAAAATGGAAATTCTTGACCCTTGCCTGCCATAGCAATAATTAAGTGCAGTTTGTTTGTATGCTTTACGAGAAATTTCAATTATGCTTGTGTATCTTTTAGGAATTGTCTGAGTTAGCAATGGGAACATTCAAGCATATAGGAAGAATGCGTTCTGCAAAGCTGATTGGCAAAGATCTGGCTTCATTCTACATGTGAGTACCAACCAAGTTTCCAAGATTTCTAGGACCCGAAAATTCAGAATGTTCTGATTTTTCAACTACAAAAATTATTTTATTTTTTTAATTTTTTTTTGTGTGTGTGCTAAAGCCAAATTAATTTTGTTTTATTATGTGCCGCGATTTGAGAGTTCACGTATTGCGTGCGTCGAATGGCTGCATGTTCAAGCAGCGAATTTTTATTCGCTTTTTGATACAGATTTACCGCGTATTGCCAGTTACACTGGCAATACAAGTGATTTATTAATACAAATGATATAAGATTTCTTATTTTTGAAGGCATACCGTGCACAAAATTCCTAATCCTTATTTTCAAATGTTGGCAGGTATGTAACCACTGGAAATATATGATTTTTGAAAATTAATATTCTGTATTTGTACCCTGCAGGAAAACTGGAGAGCTTCACAAAGCTGAGAGTTTCTTGTCTGATGCCCTTAAGGTGTATGAGGCAGAAGGATGGGGTATGATGACAGCTTCGACCAGAAAGGAGCTAGCTGGATGTTACAAGAAGCTTGATAACAATCTCAAATATCCTTCCTAAAACCTGTGTGATAGGAACAGTGGTGTAGTGTGGATCCAACCATTCCAGGGGGGGGGGGGGGCACTGGTCTTACTTGGGAAGCGATTGGAGGGAGGTTGCAGGAAGGTGTCCTCTTGTCTTCGCCTCTCGTCATTTTATTTCTCTCCATCTCTCCTTTCATGGTTACTAAACAGTGTGAGTCCAAAAAAAGTTTACACCTAGAAAATTGCTAATTATTTTTAAAATCATCTATGAACAGTAGATTATTATACATCTTATGAAAGTCGATTTTTGCACTCTCGCAAACAATACCTCCTGTTCATCCAAGCGTGAACACATACCACACAAAAATGATACCATTTAAAAACAGTATTCTGTATTACCTAAGCACTATATATATCTAGATTTATTATCATTATTATTATTAGGCCTACCGCTAGGTACATGCACTACTGAAGTACTGTTGTATCCAAAGTTTGCCCTTTTGGGGGGCCTTTTTTCATGAAACATCAAAAAGTTAAGAAAAGTTAAGGTTTAGGGTTAATGAGCATTTTACCATTGATGTTCTAGTTATTTAATCCAGTAGCAAGAGGGGCCTGTTTCATAAAGCCTTTTTTCAATGACAAATGACAAAAAGCAGTGACAAATCTGCTGATAACCAATCAGAAGCAAGGATTTCAGTAGCTTATAACACAAACTGTCATTCATCACTGATGACAAGTTTTGTGAAACAGGGCCCAGGTGTTGTCTTTAACTCATCTCAATACATACCTGAAGCTGTGCTGTCAGCTGGCTGCAGACAAGTTTGTTGACCCTGACAGAATGAACTACTTTAAGGAGATAAACCGGGTCGCAGCAATCGATGTGCCACAAACTGAAGAGAAAGGTATGAGCTGAAAATACTTTCTGAAATATATTATTCTAATGAACACACACTACTGTATAAACTAGTATGTTCATGTAAAGATATTTTCGCGGATCAAGAATTCAAGGAAGAATTTGCGAGTTGTTAAATTAGTGTAAAACCACGAGCACTAATAATTATATACTTTTCAATAATTATCATTCTATTTCTGCGAATCATGAATTCATTACTAAGGATCATAGTTATCATAACATAAGAATTCTTTCTTGACAAAAAAAATGAAAATAATCTCAATCTGGGCCGCATGACTCGTGCTATAGTGTATAGACAATGTGTGCGAAGGGGCTTACTTTAGTGCTTTCAACATGGGACATTACTCGCCGGAAAAATTATTGTGTGTTGTTGGATTCGCGATCGACGAGTGATTCACGAAATTCGCGAACAAAAATCGCCATGAAAATATCTGCTTGTATGTTAGTAAAAAGGCAATTCTTATTCTATGGAGTGGTGAAGTGTGACATCATCAAAAAATTATTTTTAGAATTTCTCATTTTTTTCTTCATTTTCCGAAAGAGCATCAAAAATAATGTCCAAATGTCGAAAACCAATTCGTCTCTATTTTCACGAAGTGACGGTAGTGAGGAAAATCGTAACACAAAGTGAATGCGATTTTTATTCACTACCGTCACTTCGTGAAAATAGGGACGGATTGAATATGTTAAGTATTGGCTGAGATATGACCATCTGAATAAAAAGATTGCCTATGGGAACTCAGTGTTATATGCTCTGGCTCCTAACCATTAGGAGCCAGAGCATTTTTGTAGAGAGTAGACGTGCCAATTAAACACTGTATGAAAAGTCGTAAATCATTCAATGTCATCATATATTTGAAATATGGGATTAATTTTGTGCAGGATGTATATTTTTTCGTAGAAATTGTGTTGAACATTTATTCATAATTTGTGATACTAAAGATCCCAAATTATAGGCAAGATCAGACTATAAAAGTTTCACTTTTGTGTGTCACATAAAATGTATTGAATTAAGAGAAACTAAATGGAGATTTGTCAATACTGAAGTATTGATCCTTATCACATGGCAACATTAATCAAGGCTGAACTTCATAGAATAATTTCACAGAAAGTGCAAATTTCTCTATTCTTGTTGGGATTTCTGGAGAAGTTTGTAACTTAATTAGCAAAGCTAAAAGAAAGCAGAATGTATTGTTTTCTGCCAGTGTATCTAACTATTGAGACTCTTTTCTTTTATTCCTTGTAATATAGCAGAAAAAGCTCTGTATCTATGGGATTTCATCTTTGCCCCGCCTACCTTGTCACTGGACCCACCTAACGGTCGCGTTGGCAAGGAGGAGGTCATCAACATCAAGGTCACCTTCACCTCCAACCTGCCTGCACCAATCACACTCCATCAAATCACTCTTCAGCTGCATGATCAGCTCTCATTGGCCAGTGGTGGTGGAGAGAGCCAGCCAATCAGATTAGAGAAGAGCCCTTCCCAGGACAGCCTGCAGAGACTTAGGTCCCTGGATGCCAGGGCTCAGGTCAGTGGCCGTGAAAAAGGTGGTGTGATTCCAGTCTTTGGGTCGGAGGTCAAGTTTGGAGAGGAAAGCAGGAAATTGGGTGAGTGTTAATTACTAAAAAGAAATACACCAGTTTACGGTTATGGGCACCATTTTAATTTAATAGTAAACAAACCATAAGATAGCGCCCATGCAAATATGATGTGAGCGCACAGCGCAGGCAGTGATGTCATTGTTTTCAGATGTGCATGTATTGTTGCATCATGTGCGCTCACATCATATTTGCATGGGCGCCATCTTAATTTACGTGTAAACCACTGACCTCTAGAGCTCAGTGGTTTGTTTACTCGAGGAAAGGAGAGGGGGAAAGGTAATGTGAAGAAAATAAATGCTCACAAAGAACAATGAAGGAGAGTAATGCCAATGAGAGAAGATATTCTATGATAAATATATAATAAATGTCATTCTTTTCTCTTGAATCGTTAAACTTGAGATGAGCTTCTTGGTGTGTAGCAATGATAGTGTGACACTCCGGAGGCAAGCTACTTGCACATCACTCAGAAAGATGATAACATCCTAAAAATGTCAACGTACTAAAGTATATTTCATGTTCTTTGTATAGTGTGAAGTAAAGACAGTTGAATTTCTATGTGGTTGAATAAACTTTAAAGGGATCCGGTAACTTTGTCTTAGATCCTTTAAAAAAATCCTTGATTTAGCTCATGCTGCAATGATAATTATAAACTTTTTGGTCAGTCAGGAACCCCATGACTTTTACAAGCCGATCGCCTATCTGATTATCAAGATATTTATGATTGAAAATCTAAATCAACTTTTGGGTTTGCCAAACGGTTTTCATAACACAACAGTCTATTGGGGAAAACGAGTATGGTAAAACTGGTCACTCAAAGGTTTTTACTTTTTTGAGGCACTTCTTGATCATTTTGAAGCGCAATTTTTTTAGGGCTTCAATATAACACCATATCACAGACACTGATAACACGTAGGGCCGTGCATCTCAGATTTAACATTGTTAAACAATCCCTTTAATATCTCCTCCGATATCTTCGATCTATTTTATAGTTGAGACGAGCTCCTTGGTGTGTAGCAATGCTAATGTGATCCTCCAGAGGCAAGCTACTTCCACATCACTCAGAAAGATGATAACAACCTAAAAATGTCAACATACTATATTTGATGATCTAATTGTATAGTGTGAAGTAAAGACAGTTGAATTTCTATGTGGTTGGATAAACTTTTAATGTCTTCTCCGATATCTTCAATCTATTTTCTAGTTGAGACAAGCTCCTTGGTGTGTACCAATGCTAATGTGATCCTCCAGAGGCAAGATAGCTCTACATCACTCAAGAAGAACAAAGATGTGGTCACCAAGGAAATGTGTTCAACAACACTGGTCCTTCAAGATATTGAGCTGAAGCCTGGCAAGAATGAACTGGAATTTAAATTTCAGGTATGATTCATTTATAAAAGAGAAGGTTGAGTTCTGGGAAGAGGTGAAAAATAATTTGTGAGTGTTGTCATTGTTATTATGCAAGGGTGGAAGAACATCAGATAAAACATGTTCCCTGAAAAGCATGGCTCTTCAAATGCCTTAATATTTTTAATATGACGTGTAACATCAGAAGAATCGGGACAGATTTTTACGCCACATGTTCGTGTAGTCCCATATACATCTTTCTGTGTACAGTGCTTGTAACTTTACCAAGACTTGGCTGAAATTTATTATCATTTTGATGATTCCAGAACCTTGCGGTACACCCCAATACTTGTATGCTAGATGATCAACCTTTTCTGATCAATTCCACACCGTTTCTTTCACAATGCAATCGCATGACCAGAACTCAACTTTACCTTTAAGTGCTAGTCTGCATCATAGTGATTCCATGAGATATGTCACATCAGACATAAATATTTATTTCATCAAAACTAAAAAATCTCTTGAAAATGTTAGTTATACTATTCTTGGAGCCAGTCCTGAAATAGACACTAGGCTCCATTACTCAGCAAGGATTTGCTAGGGATGCACCCAGTTTTTGTTTTTTTTACAAATCACTCAGCGCTTTAATTGGCACCCATACCCCCTGGATGAAAAGTGATGAAAACAAAACTTAAAATGCGTTTGTAATCACCCATTCCCCTCACACCACAAGTGGTAAGGGTATCAAGTTTATAAGCATGGTATTGATACACTTACCAAAATGACCTTGCCATTACTTTAATTTACCTTTAATTTACTTACGAACCATATTGGCAGGTACATATAACTTCATAATTACTGCAACTATGTTTATTCACGCTTTTTAAGTTATAATTTATCTGGCATGTTTGAAATGTACTGTATCTGATTAATGAAGCTATGTCTGTATGTTTTACTGTATTCATACTAGAGAGGTTACCCTGCCTTTGCAACTTTACTTTTATTTGTACACCTCAGACCTATTAAATGTTTTTACAATGAAAATTAATTAACAATTTTTCTTGGATTTTTTTTTGTAGTCTGCAGAAAATGGTACATTTGAAGCAAAGCAGCTGATATGCCAGATCTACAATGCAGAATTTCTTGCCAATTTAGAGCAGTACTGCACAGAGATCGAAGTGTTCAGCAAGGAGGCCCAGCTGACCATCACAACAGAGTCTGGTGAGGTTTCACTCAGATCTTCTGCATTCTACTAAACCGTTTTACTGATGTATGGTAGTGTTTAAGCTGATGATTATACTGATGTATGGTAGTGTCTAAGCTGATGATTATACTGATGTATGGTAGTGTTTAAGCTGATGATTATACTGATGTATGGTAGTGTTTAAGCTGATGATTATACTGATGTATGGTAGTGTCTAAGCTGATGATTATACTGATGTATGGTAGTGTCTAAGCTGATGATTATACTGATGTATGGTAGTGTCTAAGCTGATGATTATACTGATGTATGGTAGTGTTTAAGCTGATGAGAATACTGAAGTTTGATAGTGTCTAAGCTGATGAGAATACTGATGTATGGTAGTGTTTAAAGGTAATACAAAGTTTTGGTATGGGGTCATGAATTTGGTTCACATGAACATATTGGAAGCGTATGCGATCCTACAAATATTCAGTGATCGTAGTCGAGGTTAAAATCGAGTCTAAAGTTATGAAATTGTAAATAATAAACTCTTTATGTTGCATAGCTCCCTCTCAAGGTCAATTTATTAATTAAACTATAAAACAATGTTTCTTGACTAAAATCGACCAATTAGCTATTCCTGTTTGGATAATATATATCACAACTACATATTCTGATATTTTCATTGTCGCAGCTACCACTGTACGGCCGTAGGCGCTATTTGAAATTATCTAAATTTACATAGAGCACCGGTAAATTTTTATATTCAATTTTTCTCGAAAGCAGAAGTGTTTTAGGGGCTAAATTTTCTAGTGCTTATAAAACTTCCATAGGGGCATCCAAATATATCGAAATTGTAAAGAATCACTATTCACACAATTTTCAAAATTTCCAAAAACTTTGTATTACCTTTAAGCTGATGATTATACTGATGTATGGTAATGTTATTTGAATGATTGCTTCATGTCAAGTACTCACCTCATCCACACATGGGTGCTTAGTTTGCACCGGTATCACCCACCGTTTGTTTGATTACAGATTCTAGAGCTTGCAGTGACCAAAGCATATTCTTTTATACTTGTTATTTATGTACCATCCCTTGATTAAGTATGGTAAATCTAGTTTGACGCCATGCCTGAGGACATTTATGATTGGTCAGGATTTAAACCCTCAGTTTTTATGTTGAAGTTATTTATGCACAATGAACAACTAGTGGGCGATTTCGTGGAATTTACATCTTTAAATTTTAAGAAATGGAAAACCATGATGTTTGGCTATTGATTAATGCTTCATTTCTTGTATCACTATGTCCTGAACTCACAGCAATTGTTCATTAGCTGGCTAGAATATAATAATAATAATAATAATATTGGATTCTTATACAGCGCATGTATCGACCTTGCAAGGTCCTCAAGCGCTCAAAATTACCCGGTTTAATCTAGGCTGTCGATTTTGACGCTCACAGCATGTAAGGAATTCCTTCCTACTGGTCCTAATTAATATCTGGTACAACATAAACAGAGTTGCCCTTATCCATAACATGCCCACGCTCATTTCCCGTGAAATTGATCCTCTATCCTCAGACCTGCTGTGTGGAATCCCTCAAGACATTACCCTCCACCTGACAACCGGCTACACCCCTATCCCAGAGAGCACCACCCTGGCCATCACCACGCCCACCAGTCTTGCCATCCTCCCATCCAAGTCGGAGGAATACGAGGTGGAGTCCGTGGATGACGGAGGGAAGGTTCGGTTCGTGGAGGGAGTCAAGAGCAATGAAGAGATAGATCTGAGGGTTGGGGTAGTAGCGGACATGTGCAGACAGAGTGAAGGCAATAAACAGAACATTCAGGTTGGTTAATACACTACTGAATATGAATGGGCAGGCCTGATAATTACCCAATTTAAATCGGTTTCCAGATATTTATTATCCCCTCGCTGACTAGGTTGGAGGGGATATAGTAACGCTGCCGTCCGCGTGCGTCAGTTCGTAACAAATTTGGTTTCCGATCGATGTATGAAGATACATGATATCAAAATACAGGCTAAGTTCGATTTTGGAGTACGTAGGTCAAAGGTCAGAGGTCATAGCTCATTAAATATGCGAAAAAATACACGTCTGATTTTGGATCGATAACTTTCGTAATGTGTGACTGCCTAAAATAAATTTGTAATTCTAGACTGCCGGTATATTTACATGTACGGTATGTGAATTTTTGATGCCTCAACAAGTAGAAAGAATTTGTTTCCAAAATGACTTTTCATGTAATTTTTGTCAGAATTTGATGTAGGTAGCTGAGTCGTATGGAATGGGGTGGCTATTTAGATAGGTACAGGGCCCTTTTGGAAAGTAGGTTAATTTTAACATGACTCTGTATTTTTCTTTTTTTTCCAGTTTTCTGTTGAATGTCCATGGTCAGAGACAGTGATGACAACTCTAGAATTCACTAACCCTTTCACCTTCAAACAAAGAATATATACTGCTGGACAGAGGTAAATATGAAGATGATTAAAACAATCTGGAAGTATCATACTCTAATTAATTGTATATTTACTTGTCTTCACATTAAGAAATGTTAAAGGTATAGACCAGTTTTGGAAATAATGATAATAATAATATAATATTTAATTTTTATATAGCGCTTAATACAAATGTCCCTATTAAAGCGCTTTACAAATATACTATTACCCCGGTCATTGGATTCAGTGCTTGCCCACACACACTGTGCTCAATCTCCACTCCCTGGGGAGCATTCCAGCCAGACGTTACTTGACGCTCAAAAACTGTTTGACCAACAATGACGGTCGCATCCTACCACCCCCCTCTCAAAAAATGAAATGGAAGCTCTTATTACCAATCATGTGAAAGAATATGTTTTGACTAATACGTGATGATACAAATTTTGCCGGGAAACCGCCTACCAATTGATATATTTGGTAAATTATCATATCGATCCGGCCTGGATAAATATCGCAAATGCAGTTCAACATTGAACATTTGGGCATATATTTCTGCTTTTTAGCGAATTTAGGTTGAAGTATTGCCATCTATACCTCTGAAGGCAATATTTAAACACTATTAAATGGATATTTTGCACCTAAAACTCTTGAACCGCAATTTTACCACTACCGGTCTTTACCTTTAAGGTTGAAGGTTTGCATTTGTGCTCAGTGCGGATATGTGTCTGTAGAGAAAGCATTTCATCTTCAGTCATTTTTAAAAGCCTATGTGTAAAATGGGTACCTGGTAGGATTTGTTCCTCCAAATTCAGGCTGTTATTTCATATTACAAGTGATATGTGCTGCACAAAAGTGGAATCTGATTATGATGTGTTCCAAGTCTCACCATGTCGGTATACATTTGATATGTTAAAGGCATCGTTTAACAATGTTAAATCTGAGATGGACGGCCCTATACGTGTTATCAGTGTCTGTGATATGGTAGAATATTGAAGCCCTAAAAAAATTGCGCTTCAAATTAATCAAGAAGTGCCTCAAAAAATTAAAAATCTTTGAGTGACCGGTTTTACCATACTCGTTTTCCCCAATAGAGTGTAGTGTTAGGAAAACCGGAAAAACGTTTGGAAAATGCAAAATTTGGTTTCGATTATGAATCATAAATATCTTGATAATCAGACAGGCGATTGGCTTGTAAAATTCATGGTGTTCCTGACTGACCTAAAGGTTTATAACTATCATTGCAGCGTGAGCTAAATTTAGGATTTTGTTTCAGAATCTGAGGCAAAGTCACCTGATCCCTTTAATCATTGATCACATCAGTCATAGTAAGAAATGTTGGTAAAGCTGTATCATATTCTTTGCCGTGATTGTCACCTTTTCAGTCATTCTAGATGGGAGTCATTCTCAAATACCTCAACCAAAATAAATGATCAATGCCGGGGGCAAAATGTTACACTACAAATTAACATTATGACTGTTTGGCCAGTCCTGAAGTTTGTGAACTGTTTAAAAAAATATTTAAAAACTGTTGCCCTTTTTTTTTAATGATTTTAATTTCTCTTCTTTTCTTTTTTGAACAACCCCATATCTTGTAATCAGAAATTGTTGACATTGAACTGAATTATATTTGTTTGCATCCACAGGAAGTTTCTACAGGTGACAGTGGAAAGCTCATGTGATTTGACCTTTGAACTCAGTGGTCAGTCATTGGAGGTCACAGGTGACAGGTTACTCACTCTAACACCACTACACCCCATCAAAAGCATTGTGAGTGCATAGTCATTATGTTTGTGGGATAATGACTGATTGTATGACCAGGGGGTGTTTCACAAAGATCCTAAGTAGAACTTATTTCTAAGTTGGACTTAAAGGTAAAGGCCAGTATTGGAAACACCCCACTTTCAAAAAATGAAATGGAAGCTCTTATTACCAATCATGTGAAAGAATGTGTTTTGACTAATACATGATGATAAAAATGTTGATGGGAAACCGCCTACTAATTGATATATTTGGTAAATTAGTGTATCTCTCGCCTGTTAAGAAATACAAATGCATGTGTCGCGCACGTGTGTGTAGTCCCATATACATCTTTCTGTGTACAGTGATTCTAACTTTATGAAGACTTGGCCAAATTTCTTATCATTTTGATGATTCCAGAACCTTGCAGTACATCTATGCTAGATGATCAACCTTTTCTGATCGATTTCACAATGTTTCTTTCACAATGCAATCGCATGACCATAACTGGTCTTTAACTTTAAGAGGCATGAAATGTTGATTCAAATCATTCATATTTTCTATTATCAAGGAGATTTCCAGTTCTTAATGAGGGATTTATGAAAATTAAAAAATATTTGAATTTTTGCTTTTGAATATATAATTCATTTTAAGGCTACAGATGGCTCTCCATAATATTTAAGTCCAACTAAGAGTTAAGTTCAACTTAGAATCTTTGTGAAACACCCCCCCCAAGGGATGCATATTTTCAGGCAATAGTCTGAATTCGGGCCCTGGCAAGTTATTTTCAGACCATACTTTAGGTGTTTTTTTTGTTGTAAAAAATAGCTCATTCTAGGTGATTTTCAGGCCCTCTGATCAATTCTAACTGGCATCCCTGTATGGCACATGTTGTAGCAACAACTGCCTTACTTTAATAATCAAATACCTTACTATATTAAACTAACTTTAACTGTGGATACAACACTATTGTTTCCACTGGATTATTGTATTGCTGGAGCATTTATTTTCAACAGTAAACAAAATTATTTTGCCTATTTTGTTTCCTTTTGTTTACAAGATGAACTGGTAGGTCAGAATCCCTCGTTGATAGAGCATCTCAACTATTTGAAGCCAGAATTGCGTTTAAAGATAAATTTGAGTTCTGGTCATGCGATTACATTGTGAAAGAAACGTTGTGGAGTCGATCAGAAAAGGTTGATCATCTAGCATTTCATTATTGGTGTTTATTGCAAGGTTCTTGAATCATCAAAATGATAATAAATCTGGCCAAGTCTTGGTAAAGTTATAAGCACTGTACACAGAAAGATGTATATGGGACTACACATAAAAATCTGTCCCGATTTGTATACTGTTGCATGCCATATTTAGAATAATAGGGCATTCGAAGAGCCATGCCTTTCAGGGAAAATATTTAATTTGATGTTCTTCCACACTTGCATAATAACAATGAGTAACGCTCACAAATTATTTGTCACCTCTTCCCAGAACTCAATCTTCTCTTTAAGTCTTAGTTAAAAGATATGAGTTAACACCCTTCTGGCTCCAAACAAGATGGTCTAAGCTTTCTTTACCATGTGTATAAAAACTTAGCATCTAATTTTCAATTGAAAATAAGCTCAGGATGAACCTGTGTAAAACTAGTTGCATAGAACAGTATTCTGGACATTGTGGACATGGAATAATATGTATAAGTGTTGTTTTTCCCCCATTTTTCGGGAGGAGGGGCGGGAGAAGGGGGGTGGGGGGATCGAGAGAGAGAAGAGAAATCATTCACTTACCGGTACTATGTTTTTGACCTTTCTTTGTACATGTAGTATGTTATATTGATGATCACAATAATTTGATGTTGTAAATTCCATCAGAATATGAGAGAGTTCCTTTAGAGCCCCACTGCACTACTTATAGCAGCTTGCGCTCTCTATTATAGCAAACAATGCCTAATTGGTGCCTGTTGGTACCCCATGATCCCCTTTTTCTTATGTTAATTGAGAGCTGATTTGGTGAGATAACCACCTGTCAGTGTCTTTGCAGGACGTCTAATCCCTCCTGGCCAAACTAATACAGACGGGCTTTAAGAACTTTAGAGTTTGAACATATTTGTGGCTTACACCCAGTAAATAAGATCGATTGATCGATCTGTAATTGAAAAAAAAACAAGTCATAAAAAACCTTGGAACCAGCGGGATTTGAGCCTGACATCTACTGCTTGCCAGGCAGCGACCCTACCACCAGGCCATCACTGGTCAATCGATCAATCAATCTTGTTTACTGGGTGTAAGCCACAAATATGTTCAAACTATTGAAATTTCTCCCAGGAAGCATTACATTTATAAAAACTATTGAGTTGTGTTGGATATTTCATTTTGATCTGTTCTGTTTGGCTCCTCGTTGCAGCCACTGCAAGGTAACCAGTCAGTCTCCTATGTTTGGGAGGCTAAGCCAGTCCCAGACACCTCTCAACCAGCAGGGCCCCTTGGGTTTCATTACTCTGTGAGTTACAGGCCCATCATGCCCTCCCCAGTCACCAGCCAAGACCAGCCCCTCAAGTCAATCTCATGTGATTTTGAGATCATCAATTTTGAGGTATGTCCTCATCTTCTTCTTCTTCCTCCTCCTCCTCCTCCTCCTCCTCCTCAATTTTTACCCATTATGAGACCATCATATCGATATGTTATTTAAACAGTGTTTTTAGTACTTTGCTGACTGAAATTGTTTTATTCCCTTTGTTTTAGGGGTTAAGGCCAAATTGAAACATTGCAATCATAGAGAACAGCTGACTATGATTACAAATTCATGAATTGATTAAGAAATTATTGATTCATTATCATTCAGAATACCCTAATTTTTTAATAATAGTAGCATGCCTTGATTGTGAAATGTTATATTTTATGATTCTTCATTTGTGGAGCTATAAATTCATAACTGAAGAATAACTATTGACATCAGAGAAAAGCAGTGAAAACAATAAATCCTTGTTCTGGGGGGGGGGGTGTTTCACAGAACTTGTCATCAGTGACAAATGGCAGGTTTTGTTATAAGCTAGTGAAATCCTTGCTTCTGATTGGTTATCACCAGAGTTGTCACTGATTTTTGTAATTTGTCATTGAAAAAAGTCTTTGTGAAATGGGTCTCTGTTCTGTTTCAGACCTTGTTCATGATCACATCTATCATCAAGCCTCCCAAGAAGGAGGAGCTATGCAAAGCAGGGACTCTCTGCACCCTGGACGTAGCCATTAAGATGCTGGACACGCCCCCTCCAGCTGCAACCACACCCACTCCTAGTGGAGACACGCCCACTCCTAGTACCAAGCCCAACCCACCCAAGTCACTCATGTATGAGATTGATACTGAGGGAGGCATGTGGGCCGTCTGTGGGCGCAGCACTGGGGTCGTTGCCATGCCAAGCAAACAGTCAGGGGTCACAGAGGTCACGTTGGAGGTCATTCCACTCATTGCTGGCTTTCTACCCATGCCTGACATCAGACTGAGTCAGTATTTGAAGGGTGTGGATCCAAATGGTGAGGTTGAAAGGTCAAATACAGGGACGAATAGAGATTGAGGGGGGGGGTGGAGCATGTTTGGCAGATCTACTTATTTCAGTGAACGAAATTGACTGAGTCAGTATTTGAAGGGTGTAGATCCAAATGGTGAGGTTTAAACATTGAATACAGGGATGGATGGAGATTGAGGGGGGGGGGGGGGGGTTGGAGCATGTTTGGCAGATCTACTTATTTCAGTGAACAAAATTGTATTGACGCTGTACTTTCAGTTATGAATGAGCTGTAACAGATACATGAGCATTTGTCTACATCAATAACCCACTACTTATAATGGCCCAAATTAAACTGTTTGAATATTTGTGCATACCAAAACGTACCACCATTCGGTAGAAGGGTCTGAAAATCAGACTATTACTTAGGTGATTGTAATCACTTAACTTGATTCAACAACTAATGGTCGTTATTTTCCCACTAAAAGCCATTTTCAAGCCCTTTCGTTTTTAGGGAAGTTCTAAATTAGTATTTTCTTTCAAATGCCTTTGAAATTTAACCTTTTCACCTGTTTTTTGCCTGCAAATGGGACATATTGTAGTACCTTTAAATAGGTCCGCGGCACTAATGTCCTTTGACAAGACATTGATCTACTTTTGTCACTCTCCACCCAGGTGTTAAATGGGTACCTGATAGGATGCGAAAGCTGATGTGCTTAGATTAGCAAGTGTGCACTTGCAAAATTTACGCCTGGCTAGAATGCTCCCCAGGGAGTGGAGAATGTGCATACATTGTGTGCGGGCAAGCCTGAATCCGGTGACCGGGTAATAATATGGTTGCAGGGTCTGCAGGGAGAACAGTATAAATACTGATAAGGCTACCCTGGGTAAAACAAGACATAAATAGCCTTTTGAAATTATTTTTAATTGTTTTGCAGAAGGGAGCCACCCTCTTGCAGAGAGCAGCGGAGAGCAAGCAAAGAAGACGATTAGCTCTAGTAACACCAAGCCAACTATCCTGCCATTCAGTGAAAGTCAGGTCTATTACTGCAGCAAGGCATGTCAAATAAGAGTCCTACCAGAGTCAAACCTTAGCACAGTTGAAGTAGCAGTCTTCTAGAGTATTGAAAGTCAGGTCTATTACTGCAGCAAGGCTTGTCAAATAAGAGTCCTACCAGAGTCAAACCTTAGCACAGTTGAAGTAGCAGTCTTCTAGAGTATTGAGAGTCAGGTCTATTACTGCAGCAAGGCATGTCAAATAAGAGTCCTACCAGAGTCAAACCTTAGCACGGTTGAAGTAGCAGTCTTCTAGAGTATTGAAAGTCAGGTCTATTACTGCAGCAAGGCATGTCAAATAAGAGTCCTACCAGAGTCAAACCTTAGCACAGTTGAAGTAGCAGTCTTCTAGAGCATTGAAAGTCAGGTCTATTACTGCAGCAAGGCATGTCAGATAAGAGTCCTACCAGAGTCGAACCTTAGCACGGTTGAAGTAGCAGTCTTCTAGAGTCCCGAAAGTCAGGTCTATTACTGCAGCAAGGCATGTCAGATAAGAGTCCTACCAGAGTCAAACCTTAGCACAGTTGAAGTAGCAGTCTTCTAGAGTCTTAGATGATTGCATCAGTCACGTCATCAAATCGACTTTAAAGATAAAGTTGAGTTCTGGTCATGTGTGATTGCATTATGAAAGAATCGATGTGGAATCAATCAGAATAGGTTGATCATTTAGTATATAAGTATCCATGTGTATTGCAAGGTTCTGGAATTATCAAAATGATAAGAAATTTGGCCGAATCTTGGTAAATTTACAAACACTGTATACAGAAAGATGTATATGGGACTACATGTGGCATTAAAATCCGTCCCAATTTCTATGATGTTCCATGCCATATTTAGAATATGAAGGCATTTGAAGAGCCATCCTCTTCAGGGAACATGTTTTATCTGATGTTCTTCCACACTTGCATAATAACAATGATAATGCTCACAAATTAATTGTCACCTCTCCCCGGAACTCAACCTTCTCTTTAAACTATCTCCAAACAGACCTACATGTATAGTTGGTCATTCAGTTACTGGTCTTGTCGGTGTGGCTGGGGTATAACACCAAGCCATAAATCAGTGAGACTTGGGTCTACTACTGTAGCAAGGCATGAGTGCTACAGTATGTGAGTTGCTGCAGGCTTTGATGCAGAAGGCTACATGAATCTGATGCGCTTGATGACTAAAAAAAATAGGCATGCGATCGCAAATACCCATAACTTTGTTTAAAAAATGTTAAATGCAGTTGCTGCCAAGGTCAATTTTAAGAGCTCCAACTTCATTTTGATTTAGATCTTTTAAAAGAGTTTTGTTTGACTCTATTGTGCTGTAATACATTGGATGATGACATCGGGAACCGGTAGGACACGTATGGAAATTAACCATTATGTTCTCCTTGTAAATTTCTTGATTCTAAGTTTTGGATGACTTCTAAGGGGCCTTTTGGACGATATCTCCATCCATTACACGCTCCCTGGTATTACCAAGCAGACATAATCGGAATAACTGAAACCTGGTATGGAGACTCAAACACTGCCATATTGAATCAAATTCAAGTGTACAAACTGTTTCACCGAGAATGGACTGCTCAGAGAGGAGGCAGTGTTGCCTTGTATGCGAGGGATGAAGATCCTTTTATCTGAGAAGCTATCACTATTTAACAATTTGGTGTTATGTGCTCAAGCGGTATTATGTGCTCAAGCAGTATTATGTGCTCAATGTATTTACATGTACCGTTTGGGCGTGATATATCACATACTTCAACTCTTAAACTGTCACCTTGCTTCACTTTGTGTACCCATTGTGTGCATAGTCTGTGCTGCAGGCTTTGATGCAGAAGGCTACATGAATCTGATGCGCTTGATGGCTAAAAAAAAATAGGCATGCAATCGCAAATACCCATAACTTTGTATAAAAAATGTTAAATGCATATTGTCACTCAATAAAATATATATATATATATATATATATATATTTACTTCTAAATTTGGAATTTCCCTCGTGCAATTATATTTCAAACTCGGGGGAAATTCTGAATTTGTTGGCTTATATAATCTATTGTATTTGAATTAAGTACATGTATTTATGTAAAATGTAATATATAGTGTATTATAGTAGTAATGTGAGATGAATTTGATATGTGTGCATACATGAGGCTGCTTCTGTTTATCTTGTACATATGGGCATGTGCAAATTTCAGTGTTACATACATTTGTCATAATCATTTGTCATAATTATTTGAAATTTCGAATATTGCCAGTGGAATTATTTGTTTTTGCTCTTGCTTGAATTTTGATGAGATTTTGGGCAAACTTACTCTTTAGAATATAAAGAATCATACCAGACTGGTCATTAGAGGGAAAATCCTTGTCGATTTCAAGTCAAATGTTAGGCACGGAGATATGGTGCTCCCTGTCATACACATCAGGAAAAAACATGTTTAAAGGTAAAGACCAGTATTGGAAACGCCCCAATTTCAAAAAAATGAAATGGAAGCTCTCATTACCAATCATGTGAAAGAATATGTTTTGACTAATACATGATGATAAAATATTTGCCGGGAAACCGCCTACTAATTCATATATTTAGTAAATTTGTTTCTCTCATGGTCTGTGAGAGATATAGGGTAGTCCCATAAACATCTTTCTGTGTATAGTGCTTGTAACTTTACGAAGAATGGGCCAAATTTCTTATCATTTTGATGATTCCAGAACCTTGCAGATGCTAGATGCTAGATGATCAACCTTTTCTGATCGATTCCACAACGTTTCTTTCAAAATGCAATCGCATGACCATAACTGGTCTTTACCTTTAACTCCCTCCTACTCTCACTAACACTGTGCTTTACCTTAAGGCCTAAATAATAAAGATGTTGTATTGCCCTTTAGGTGCCACCACCTGTGTCGGTCCGTCAATTTTTTTTCTTCCCCTCTTTGGGCTGATATTTTTCAGTTTTTAATGCTTCAATACAATTTTTGTTATTCATTAACCATTTTTTTTTTTGGAAGGTTTTTAAAAAAACTAATAAAAACCCGAGCGTAGATTTTAAGATTTTGGGTCTGTCCAAAAGGGTAATACAACATGATTTTTTAGGCCTTATCAAGAATTCATGAAATTAGGCAAATTTATATTAAAATAGCAACTTTGATGTTATTAGCTCAGTCTGTCAACTCGTGTCAAAAGTCATTTCAGATGTATATTTTAAAGCTGATTATTAATTTATCATGAATGCAATTTGTATTGAATTATCATTTTATATATTTAGGTTCCATATCGGTGGGCAAGTCCATAGTATGTCCCACATGTTAAAAAGTATTATGGAATTGTATTATGAAATGGTGAACATCAATTGACATAAAGATCTCATATTTGAATGATGTTTCATCCGATTCAAGTGCTATGGTTAGGCTATCAGTGTGTCGGTCATCAGATATACTGAAATCTTAGATGTGGGCAGTAATGTATGGAACAAAATAGCTACGGCTTGCCCTGATATTCCTGATTAAAAATAAAAAGAAGAAAAGTACATTGAATCGTGTATCTTATTTATCAAACTGTACGAGGTAATATTGGAGTGCCCCGAGCACCTTGCAAAGTGGATAAAGGAGATTGGCCTATTTTTTTTTTTTTTTCATGAACACATCCCTTATAAAAAAGTACCATGGTAACAATGTTGTTGTTTTTTCCAAATTACAATCCACCATGGTAACCATGGTATCAAACAATGATAAACATAGGGACATCAAATAATGAATTTCATTGTCTGATACCATGATTACCATGGTTACCATGGTGGATGGTAATTTGGACCAAAAAAAACATGGTTATCATGGTACTTTTTATTAGGGATGCCCAAGATGAACCGTATCTATTTCTAGATTATAAATAGATTACAGTCTGGGAGCCTGTCCTGCAACGATAATATAAATCTACATGTGTGTATCAAATTTGTTAATAGTAAGACTGTAATAATACAAGAACAAAATTAAAACAATTTTATTTCATAAAAAATATGCCTTACAGCCCATGGTCCAAATTATTTCAGAAAGGAAAATAATCTTAATTGGAAAGGGTATGAACCATTGTCCTGTGACAACTTTGTTCATTATGTCATCAATATCGAGGAAAATGTATTGCTTTCGCTAACTGAGCAACATTGTTTTGAAAATGGCATGTCAAAATCTTTTTGTGCCCAATTTTTGTGAGATGCAATATTTCCACTGTTGTAATGATGTGCATTTAAAGAAGAAATAAAGAAAAATAGGGACAATTTCTTATTTCTAAGACTGCAGGGCATGTACCCTTATTTTCATTCAGAAAGAAAGAGACACACAGACACACAAATACACAGAGATGCTTCGTTTATTGTGCTAAAATAAAATACATGTACACATATTGACCAACTTTGCTAAGAAATATCTCGTTACATTTCACGTGCAGGATGTCTATCAGTTATTCACAATAGGATCTTTCCATGTCACATTATCCCTTATCAAACAATCAATGCACTACAGCATTTTTTCACATTTATAATGGCCATATTAGTTTCAGGTTAATTTTGTTGATATTTATTGTATTTAGAAACCTAAATAGAAATTTAAATGTAACATCTGACATGGAATGACCCTACTATAGATCAACTACTGACAATCTGAATCTGAAAATCTAACGACCTATTCAAAGCAATGTTAGTAAACACACACATAATACAAATACAAAATACTTGTTTACATAAAAAGCATCCATTGCCCACATGGCTAACAGATCAAACAAAACAATTAAAACCTGGCACTGAAAAATATAAATGTTTTGAAAGATCACCTTAAAGGTGAAGTCAACCCTGTGGTATGCTGTTGGTTTTAATAGAGTACCAAAGTGCTAACATCATTTTCCCTCGTCCAGGTTACTGGTTCTAACAACAAGAGTTGCATGAGGTTCACCATGAAATCATTCCAGCAATGGACTGAAGCAGGGCAAATTCAGAGTTTGGCATTGGTGTGATCACCATACCATTGTTTAGCACAAATTCATTTGGAACCAGCAACCTTGACAACTTAACTAGTACGACGTCACACTCGGTATACTCTGGAAAAACAGAAGAGTGAGAGAAATCCAAGAGCTAGAAGGGCATTACTCAACCATTCTGGCTTTCAACAGGAAATAGTTCTTTCACCTGAACCAAAAGATAAAATTTACAACTACAGATATCTAAAAAAAAAAAAAAACTATTCAAAATAAGTACGTTTACTGTTTGAAAATGTCACTGCACATCGTGAATATTCATTACAATTACAACCACTTAAAATAAATAAAACTTTAAAAAATTACCAAACTAATTGGATCTTCGACTGCTCAGTCAAAAATGATGCCTCCACCATAAAGCGATTTTAAAAACCAAAACAGAAGCAATTTAAAAAACATAAATTTGATTGTAATCCATTAACAGGTTCTCAGAATATCGTAATTAATTTTTTTTTTCATATACATGTATGACCCTGTGATCTTTGACTACATGACCCTAAAATCTAATCAGTTCATTGGCTCTTCAAGATACATACATGACCCAAGTTTGGGGGTACAGACGGACGGACAACCCCTGGCTACTTTGTAGCGGAGGCATAAAAAGTGTGCAGCAAAGCCTTGCCTTAAAAAGACGCCTATCACATAGCACCAGTAAAATGAAATTCATACTTATTCGTGAACATTTTCACGAATGAAATCATTGAAATAAGATGAATTACCACAATAAAAAGGAATGTATAAAGAGTTCGATAACACAGGCAAATCCAAATCAATAAAAATAAGACTAGACATTTCGTGCCAAGTCCCACCAAATCACAGGTTTAAAAAAAGAGCCATTTGACACCGAGGTCTGCACATTGAGAAGTTGAAAGTCATATATTAGTAAATATGTTATAAAATCTGATGAAAGAAATAATTTTAATACTAACCACTAAAAGTATATCATGTCATTTCCAGGTACTTCAAGTGACATTTTGTTTTCATGAATACTTTCTTTTTTAACTGTCCCCATTCACCGTTAAAAAATCATTGTTTGAAATGGACCAATCAACAATCCCCTTTGTCATACATATTTGGGCTGCTACGCTGGAATGCTATGATTAAAAAGTAAAAGCTTCAAAGTATTCCATTAAATGGGTTTGCAAGTTTCAATATAAAAATCACATCTTTCAGATGGAGATGTTCACAGTCAGTCCCTACATGTATATCATAGGCCATTTTAATATTTCAATCATATTCAAATGCATCCATCTTTGTCAAGTGCCTCATTACGATATGTTTCATTCACTCGTCACAAGTAATTGTATTTTGATAGTCACAATGCAAATGATACATTATGTGGTGTTACACTGGGCAAGCAATAATGGTTGTCTGACCTAGCACCAACTATTTTACAAAAATGCTTTCTGGCTTTAGAAATACATAAATAAGAGGTGATTGTCATAGCTAAACAAAATTGAATACATTTTGAAAATTGTCTATCAGATCCTAATTGATGCATGTGTATAAAATCCAATTGTGCACACAACTCAAGTGCATTGAAGTTACTTCCTTAGGGGACATGTAACAACTGTTTTCCCTTCATGTTCTTCAAGCATTAACCAATAAACTGTCTGGTATTTAACATGTAAGGTGGAGAGGGAGTGGATCTTAAGGCTTATCAGTACTAGTTTACAGGAGGGATTAGACGGCCCTGCAAGGTCACTGGACAGGTGGTTATCTCATCAAATCAGCTCTCAGTTAACATCAGAAAAAGAGGATCATGGGGGACCAATGGTCACCGATTAGGCATTGTTTAATAAAGAGAGGGCGCAAGTAGCTACAAGTAGTGCAGTGGGCCTTTAAGACAATGAACAAATTGTGTTGGCATTTGGTCCCTTTACCGGTAACTGTTGACCTTTTCCACAGTCTTCCTGCAAATACTGTCACAATGCAGATCAGTATCCAGCAATATCTCTGACCATTCAAAGAATTGAGAATAGCAATACGATATACACATTCAGGTAGACTTTAAGGCCTAGTTCAGATATGCTGTGGATAAGCTACTGCATTAAATGATACATGATGTATGTGTAATACACTTCACATTTTTGTATCTTGTAACTCAGAACTCAGTTAAAGATAAAGTTGAGTTCTGGTCATTCGATTGCATTGTGGAATGGATCAGAAAAGTTGATCATCTAGCACATAAGTATTGGTGTGTACTGCAAGGTTCTGGAGTCATCAAAATCATAATAAATTTGGCCCAGTCTTGGTAAAGTAACAAGCACTGTACACAGAAGGATGTATATGGGACTACACAAATGGTGTCGGGGCTACTATACCTTGATTTCCTTATCTTTCTATGCTCATTACTCAGCCGGTATACATTTTCTTCAAAATTGTTTAGCATATGACATTTATTTGTAATCTTGAACATTCAGCGTAAGTTTCGTTTGATTCTGTGAAAATTCATTTTCTTTTTTTTTACCAGAACTTAAGTTTATCTTTAAGCGCAGTTGCCATTCATCGAGCAGCATATCTAAACTTGCCTTGCTAGAAAGAAAAAGGAATAATGCCTCCAAAAGTTAGATTGATCCTTCTTCAAACCCTCTTTGTCAGAGTAATACCCAAGTCATACCAACGAGACCAACAAGGGACCAAACTATGATCAGGACTCGATTGCCAAGAATAGATCAGGGACCCGTTTCACAAAGCCTTTTTTCAATGACAAATGACAAAAATCAGTGACAAATCTGTTGACAGCCAATCAGAAGCAAGGATTTCAGTAGCTTATAACAAAAACTGTCATTTGTCACTGATGACAAGTTTTGTGAAACACCCCCCAGATTAGAGTTAGCTTCTTTGTGTGACTGAGGCATATCTCATTGTCCCTTGGTTTAATACATGCAGGTGGATTTGTCCATGTTCAAGCATTGCACAGTGTATTGAATACCTGGGTCCTGTAACATTAACAATTATGATTAATTTCATCTCCCCAGGGGGTGTTTCATAAAGCTTTGCGTAAAGTAACGCACGACTTTACGAATGACTTGAATATGAAGAGCTAAATGGGATTCTCAAATGCTTTAATTGCATAAGCTAAAGTTGAAATATGCAGATGTAGATTAAGCTTATCATTATTAACAAAACATTTTGATGCAAAGTGTATTTTTGGCTACAATTTAATTGAGATTATGGGAAATACGGTCATGCTTTGTTAAAATGTCAGAAATTTTTTTTGGACATTCCATTTGGCTCTTCATATTTAAATCATTGGTAAAGTCATTCGTAACTTTACACACAGCTTTATGAAACACCCCCCAGATTAATTACATCTTCTTCAATCAGTTGTAACTATAAATAAATTTCATGTACAGATAGATACAAGGCGTGGAAATATGCAATTAATTGCAGCAAGACTGAAGATATCTACAATAGATTTTTATGATTGATTGTAAGTCAATTCTCCATGTTACAGGACCCTTTCCAAATGTGGGAATGGAATTACATCAAACTCAAAGACATGTATCAGAGATAACTTTCTTTGGGGGCTTGCGAATTTCACATACCAAAATAACACACATTCTAAAAATATATTATTTTCTTCTTCACTGGCAGGCAAGCTTGTATCACACACAGCTCAGGCTCATCGTCATATAGAGTGGTGAAGTGTGAAGTCATCAAAAATATTTTTTTAGATTTCGTAATATTTTTTTCATTTTCCGTAAGAGCATCAAAAATAATGTCCAAATATAGAAAACCAATTGAAAATGTTAAGTATTAGCTGAGATATTACCATCTGAATGAAAAGATTTTCTATAGGAGCTCAGTGTTATATTGCTCTGGTTCCTAATGTTATGAACCAGAGCAAAATAACACTGAGATCCTATACGAACTCTATTCATTAAGATGGTCATATCTCAGCCAAAACATTTTCAACTGGTTTTCGACATTTGGACATTATTTGTTATGCTCCTTCAGAAAATGAAGGAGAAATTGTAAAAATAGATTTTTATGATGTCACAGCTTTGGTACTCTATTGATTACTACTCAGCGTCATATCCAGTAAGTAACCATGTGAGTGGTTCATTCGGTTCAATCCAACTCGTGAATACGAACGAGGTAATTCTTTATAGTAGAATGCACATGAAGGAATACGAGGTAGTGATGATACAGGGTGTATCATCATAAATCAAGAGCATCCCTGAGCAGACTAGCAATGTCTTTATCTTCATCCTTTCCTTCTTCACCTGAAAGATAGAAATTAGAGAAACATACCGTTAAAATATGTATTGATGATGATGATTTGGATTATTCATCATTGCAAATGTTTTCGTTTATTTCTTTTTTGGCCTCATAATTTTTTATTTTTTTTTAAAGATGAAAAATTGTATTTTAAGATTTTAAGATTGTATTTCACTCTTATTATCGTACTACAATATGATTTAATCGTACTGGTTGGCATCTCAGGGACAGTATTGACCGACTTTTACATGCCCTTTCCCCTTCCCACCTCAACATTCAATTCTGGATCCAACACTTATTGATTATACAACAACTACTGTAATCGAAAACAAAATGAATACTCATGATAATACAACATCACTTGGTTTCTCTGCATGTTTAATACTGAAACATGTTTTATCATACTTGGGGTGATAGTGAGCACTAAAAAAAGTGGGGGTTTCCTCAAGCACCCCCTCCCCCTTGAGTATTAAAAAAATGGCATCTAACAAAATTCCCCCTTTTGAATGAGAAAATTTGGAAAAAATCAGCAAAAATAAGGAAATAAGGATAAAATCAGGAATTAAATAAAATAATAATAATAAAATCAGCGGAGAAAGAAAAAATCACGAAACCGATTTAAATCAAGTAATTATCAGGCCTGTATACTGTGAGGATCTTGAAAGGTCTTTACTTGACTTGGACTGCTTACCTGAGATTCCACTGGTCATCTGTTTTTCTAGCTTGAGTTTGTACTTGGCACAGGATAACATCCCTTCCTCTATCGTCTGCTTACTCACAAGGCGTATTACACTCACTTCCCTGGGAAAATATATGCACAATAATTAAGTACTGTTAAATATCAGGCATGATTGAATTGAATTGAATTGATAATGGTTTTATTTAGAATAAAAGAACAACAATGCATCACGGCCTAAAAGGCCGACAAAAATCAGTGAAAAATCTGGTGATAACCAATCAGAAGCAAGGATTTCAGTACCTTATAACAAGAATTGTCATTTGTCACTGATGACAAGTTTTGTGAAACACCCCCTGGCAGGAAGGTACCAGAGCTGCCAACCTCCAGAACAGAAAACCAATATTTACAAGGCTCAAAATCAGTAATTTTGGGAATAAATCGGTAATTTCCTAAGCGGCGCTAAGGGCTATGAATCTAAAAATAAAACGGCATGCCAACACTGCGCAGATGCATATGCACATGATTGTTTGAAATTTTGGTGATTTTACTCACAAAAAGTTGCTAAATGTTGATTGTCAGGTCATGACAACACATCAGTTTTCCATGAAAAATTGGCTTCTATTAAGAGAATACCACCATACTGCACAGCACTCGCTACAATAAATTATATTTATGCAACAACAAAAAACAACATAAGTTTAGACAACATTCCGTAATGATCGTTAATTTCTGTACCAATTACAGGAAATCCGTACTAGTTGGCAGCTGTGGGAGACTCTACAAGATACATTGTAGAAAAGCCCAAAACCACAACTTGACCCCATGTTTCTTATGTATGTAAAATTGTAAATGAATGGAGAAAAAAAATTGACCCCATCTGATATCAGTTACGTAGCTCAAAAGTGTTCCTGAAAGTCAAGAACCAGACAATCACACAAAATAAAATAACAATTTCATCAGGGGGGTGTTTCACAAAGATCCTACGTCAAACTAAACTCTAAGTTGGACTTAAAAGTTATGGAGAGCCATTTTTAGCCTTAAAATAAAATATATTTAAAAGTGAAAATTGAAGTATTTTAGACTTTTTTATAAATTCCACATCAAGAACATGAAATCTCCTTGATAATATAAAATATGAATGATTTGAATGAATCAACATTTTATGCCATTCAAATTAACTTTTACAAAATATTTTCATAGATGCTAACGGCTTTCCATAATTGTTAAATCCAACTTAGAGATAAGTTCAACTTAGGATCTTTGTGAAACACCCCCCAGGGCTGATTAAAACTTTCCTGGCAGGCAGGTACATACCTAGTCTGTCCGACTCTATGACATCTATCTTCAGCTTGTTTGTCATTGTAGGGATTGAAGTCTATATCATGTAGGATGACAGTGTTAGCTGCAGTCAGGTTGATGCCCACGCCACCAGCTCGAGTCGATAGCATGAAGATGAAGACAGAGTCATTCTTGTTGAACTTGTCAATCAGCTGTGCTCTAGATGTATTAAGCAATCACAAATCAGGTGTGAGTCCTAGTGTGAGTCATTCATTAATAAGATGCATTTGCCTCAAAGGTACTTTGTCCCATTTGCAGGCCAAAAGAATGAACAGGTTAAAGATAAAGATCCGTTCTGGTCATGCGATTGCATTGTGAAAGAAAAGGTGTGGAAAGGATCAGAAAAAATTGATCATGTAACATATAAGTATTGGTGTTTACTGCAAAGTTCTGGAGTCATCAAAATCAAAATAAATTTGGCCCAGTCTTGGTAAAGTAACAAGCACTGTACAGAGAAATATGTATATGGGACTACACAAATGGTGTCGGGGCTACAAACCTTGATTTCCTAATCTTTCTATGCTCATTACTCAGCCAGTATACATCTTCTACCAAAATTGTTTGGCAAATGACATTTATTTGTAATCTTGAACATTCAGTGTAAGTTTCGTTTGATTCTGTGAGAATTCATTTTCTTTTTTTTTACCAGAACTCACCTTTATCTTTAAATTCAAACGGCATTAGAAAGACAATAGTAATTAGAACTTCCCTCAAAAACGAAAGGGCTTGAAAATGGCTTTTAGAGGGAAAATAACGACCATTAGTTTTCAAATTGACTTAAGTGATTGCAATCACCTAATTAATAGTCTGATTTTCAAACCCTTATACCAGAATGGTCGGACATTTTGTGCTGCACAAAGATTCAATCAGTTCAATTTTGGCCATTACAAGTACCCGTAGTTGGTTATTGATGTAGACAAATGCTCATGCACCTGTTACAGCTCATTTTATGCATGTTATTATCAAAGAAAAAAAGATGTCTGTCAGTCACTCAATAGTATCTGGCAGCGAAGTCTAGAAGGTAAACAGGTTCCTTGCATAATTTGAATATAAGTACACTGCTCATGTTTAAATTTCACAGATAGGACATCCATGACATATTCATAAAACCTACAAAGTCCTACAGAGTTTGATGTGGCTGCAAAAGGGACATACACTAGTATCTTTAAATCCAATTATGATCATCTTCAGTTTTCAGCACTTCAAATAAAGGTAGAAAAGCATTGAAAAGGAAGGTACAACTGCTAATGAATAATGAATATATTTCTGCTACTCCGAAGGAAGAAAGGAAAAAGGATTATTTCTCACCTCTCTGCAACGGGTGTCTGTCCATCCATGCGGACAAACTTGTGTCCTCTGATCTTGAGATATTCTTGTACTATATCGAGGACCATTACAAACTGACTGAAGAGAAGCACTCGACTTCCCTGTGCATGAAAACGATTCGAAAACAACAAATTATTAATTTCTGAATACACAAACAATGTCTCAAAGCACTTAACAAATGACAATGCCCCCCCCCCCCCCAGGAATCTCTTGTAAACATTAATAGAATAGATTGATTAAGTCTGCCCTTTAAACAATTTTATTCCAGTTGGTAAAAAGATAAAAGGAAATCAGTAACCTATTTTCTCTCTCCCTTTTCTTTTTCTTTATCATCCTAAGCAAATAGCTAAGTGTTATGTGCTATACAAGAATGGTTTACTATTATCAGGGGTGATAGTGAGCACTAAAAAAAAAGGGGGGGGGGGTTCCTCAACCACGCCCAGTTGAGTAAAAAAAAAGAGGATTCGGGGGGAAAAAAATCTAACAAAATTCTATCCCTTTTGAGTAAGAAAATTGGGGGAAAATAGGGAATAGAGAAAATAGGGGGAGTATTGGGATAAAAACAGGAATGTTTTTTTTTTTTAATCAGGTAAAAAAAAGAAAAACAAAAATTGGGGACAAAAAAATTGGGAAGAAAAAAAAAACTAGAAAAAAAAATCTGGAAAAAAAATATAAAAAATTGGGAAGCCGATTTAAATAGGGTAATTATCAGGCCTGTATTATTATGTTTATTGGATCAATGGTACACAGCTCCATGAAGTGTCTACTCACCTGCTCCTTAAGGTCAGCCAGCATCTTATCCAGGAGCTGGAACTTTCCTGACTGTGTGACCAGGTCCTGGTCCAGCCTGTACTCTCGTAGGCCACTATATTCATGGCACAATCTGTGAAGCTCATAATCACTCATCACCTCCATGTCTTCATAGATGTACTCCTCATTGGCATCGTAATGGGTAGGCTCCTGTCAAAGATAAAGTTAAAGGGAGTCACTCGTCAGTTTCCATGTGCAGAAGGCCATAATTCGCTGACACCAGACTTGGTGGAAATACCATTAATGGGAGTACAAATCTGCACACAGCAAACCCGTTGGCCAGTCAAGAATTCCCCCCCTAATATCTCAGAGAATACTTGAGATTCTCTGGGTGACGGAAAAGCAAAGCATTACATAAGGTCTAATGGTCATAAAACTAAACGCTAACCCTGGTGATTGACAACACCTGTTATTAGGTAAACACCCTAACGGTGTCGATTTCCCCATGAGAGCTGACTAGTGAGTGTCTTTAAAGAGAAGGTTGAGTTCTGGGAAGAGCGTTATCATTGTTATTATGCAAGTGTGGAAGAACATTAGATAAAAAAATGTTCCATAAAAAGCATGGCTCTTTATAAGAAGGGTGAAGAGAGACAGCAAGTTAGAGAGAGCGAGAGAGAAAGATAAGACAAACACACGTCGTCAGACAGAAAGGGAGAGACTGTAGAGGTAGAAAGAGAAAGGGAGAGGAAGAACGAGAAACAGAGAAAGAAACAAAGAAAGATGAGGCACTGCGAGACAAAGAGACATTACGCAAGAGTAAGAAAGAGAGAGAGAGAGATCTAAACTTACATCCATCATTAGCTTGGCCATTTTCCTCAGCTTCTGGTTGTCATAGTGACCTCTACGAAGAAGTGGATGGTTGGCCTGCTTCCTGAGTTCCATCATGGCGCAGGACATCTTGCCAGCTTTATTCTCTGAGCTCTTGATCTCTTTGGAAATGGACGCCACAAGGTCATTGTAACCTTTCTTCTGTTCTTCTGTCATCTCGACATGCTCGACCCGTTCTTTCTTCTTCGGTAGCTGGCTTAGTACCTGATAGAAAAAAGGATGTTGATTTGGGGCATGACTGATTTGTCCTTACTGAATATGTGGTAATCAAATAACCTCAATGAGAGTGGAAAGGGGGAGGGAGGTTTCATCCCTTTAAATGTTTCCCTATCAAAATGTTGCAGGACTTTTTTTCTCTTAATCACAAGTTTTCAAGGTATTCCGGTGACAATAGAGTGGTGAAGTGTGACATCATCAAATATCTATTTTTAGAATTTCTCAATTTTTTCTTCAATTTCCGAAAGAGCATCAAAAATAATGTCCAAATGTCGAAAAACCAATTGAATATGTTAAGTATTGGCTGAGATATAACCATCTTAATAAATAGACTTTCTATGGGAACTGTTATTTGCTCTGGTTCGAGTTAAATAAATAACCATATTATTATTTTATTAATGATAATAAAAAAAACATTAAATATTTGTGGGTCTGCGCATCAAACTCATATACATACATCATCTTTGATCCTGCGAAGTAAAAATGGCTGCATGATCTGTTTAGCATGCGCTATCCTCTCCATCTCATAGCTGCTCTGCTCATGAGGGTTTTCTGATTTTTGTTTCTGCAAAAGAAAGACAAAGAATATACAAACTTTACCTTTTTCCATTCATACAAACGCTTTGTATGTTATGAACAATCTGTATGTTCTATGACACTAGCTCTCACTACAATAAGCCAGTTCACGGTTGCAGTCTGAGCATGAGCAGATAAAGGTCATTGCAGAACAAATTTTGAAATACAGAGACAAAATACTGGATATGTGCTCATGAAAGTTATGTCATCATTATTCATTCATGCACAATCAATGCACTCCATGATACACTGGTGGAAGTATTCTTTGAAAAGGGGAAACAAAGGCTATTTATAAAGCACCTCCATAGCTGTAGGAGTGATTATTTCAAAATGTACAAAGTGGGACCTCTTCTTGTTTTGAAGATCTGTGGATATTCAGGGTCATTGCAGTAATGTGCTAACCATGAACTGGTCTATTGCTCTTCACTTGCCCAAAGTCCTACCTTCAAACCTGTACCAATCACTTTACCTAACCCTAAACCTAATTAATTCCCAATTGCAACCCTAAACCTAACCCACTTTCTGCACCACTTTCTGGTTATGATGAGCCTGCACTTGGGTAAAGATTGTGACAAAGCCATTTGGATTGAAGATAATACAAAGTTTTGGTATGTGGTCGTGAATTTGGTTCAAATGAACATATTGGAAGCATATGCGATTCTACAATAATCAGTGATCGTTGTCGCGGTTAAAATCGAATCTGAAGTTATGAAATTGTAAATAATTATTTTTCTAGTGCTTATAATACATCAACAGGGGCATCCAAATATATCAAAATTGTAAAGAATCACTATCACCCAATTTTCAAAATTTCCAAAAGCTTTGTATTACCTTTAAATGATTATGTGGTATAAAAGAATCATCAATGGTTGTTTAGTCAAGTGAAATGTTTTTGTTGAAGAGAAAAAAATCAAGAAACAATTACATTAGAAAGCACCAACACAGATATGCACATGTGGGACAAGGTAATGCTTTTTTTAGCCTCAACGGGTTTCATGACGTCATCTTTCTTTGCTTATTGCTCGCTTCTTCTGAAACATGTCATCACAATTTAAGTAGAAATAATCTATCTATAGTTTCTGGTATTGAATGTAAACAATCTATGTTCTGTAATCTCTGGAAGCTCATATTGAATGGGATCTCATACTTCATGGTTTAATACTTCATAATCTTAGCTAGTCACATCACACCTGAATGCTAGAGGTGAGACAGGTTGTTCATTAAAGGGATCCGGTAACTTTGTCTCAGATCCTTAAAAAAAATCCTGGATTTAGCTCATGCTGCAATGATAATTTAAACCTTCAGGTCATTCAGGAATCCCATGACTTAAGCTGATCACCTGTCTGATTATCAAGATATTTATGATTGAAAATCGAAATCAAATTTGGTGTTTTTCTATTGGTTTTCATAACACTGCAGTCTATGGGGGAAAATGAGTATGGTAAAGCCGGTCACTCAAAGGGGGAAAGATTTTTACTCTTTTGAGGCACTTCATGATCATTTTGAAGTGCAATTTTTTTTAGGGCTTCACCATATCACAGACACTGATAACACGAAGGGCCATGCATCGCAGATTTAACATCGTTAAACGATGCCTTTAAGATCTAATACCTACCTTCATACTGAAAACTCTGGTGAGTTCGTCTGCCTTACCACCAAACATCTTTGGCAGTGTGAAAGCTAATAGGGAGATGAGTTCTTGAAGGTTGTTTTGTAGAGGTGTCCCTGTGAGTAGAAGTCTCTTTTCAGCCTGATGGATAATAAAGATGGAGAGCAATTTCTGTCAGCTTAAATTCTTCATTTCTTCCTTTAAATTTTGTTTTGTTTTTGACAACTTGAAGATTGTGCGATCGCAAATGAAATTTTTATCTTGTATTATGTTACAAATAAAAAGCCAAGTAATCACACTCACCCCCCCCCCCCCTAAAAAAAAAAAAAAAAAAAAAATTTAAATGATCAACATAAGATAATACTTTTGACCAAATTTGACTCAAAATAATCACTTGAAAACAGAACAGAAGAATCAGAAGAAAATTAAGAAACATTGTAGAATGGTGCCATTTTAATTTATTTGACTGTTCAGTTTTCAGATTTTCTCTAAGTATCCAGTTATCTGTCTCTCTTATTTTCACTTTCATTCAAGCGATTATATGATGCAAGCTCAATTGCTCTGTAGTCAATTTCCCAATCCAACAGAATTTCTGGCTTCAACCCGAGATCAAACCCTAACCCTGGAACTAACATAATACCAATTGTAACCTTATATCTTTAATTCATATCCTTCCATAAGGCTGCTTGCACTTTACCGTTATAGTGCTTTGTACTAAGAGCGCGCTATCAATTGGTTGCTTCATTCATGCGAGCGAGATACCTCTTAGCTGCTTTATGCATGCATGCTCGCATTCGTAATAGCAGTTATTGTTTGTGCTCATTGCACTGTGCCTGGTATTTCGAACACGCTATTGAGAGTACCATCACGTTAATCCGATTATCTCAAAATTAACTTGGCACAGGAGGTTTTGACGCTTGGCACAGGGGGATTTGATCCTTGGCACAATGGGGATTAGCCCTGTGGCATTAGGCTGTATTCATAATGGCAGGATAAGAGTTAAAAAGCCCAGTACACATGTGGGTCACCAGAACTGCCAACCTCAACTGAACAAAAATCCTATTATTTTCCCAAAAAAATCCTATTTTGAAAATAAAAACCCTATTTTTGATCGATAAGTACTTTCTCACTTGAAAAATGCATATTTTTTTTTTTGGGGGGGGGGGTTCCAATTTGCATAAGTTTTTACATACAGGAAGAAATTTTTCAATGGACCAATGGTATGAGTATGCATGATTTCGTCATGACAAGTGTTCGATGAGCCAATGAACATCCCCAAAATGCTGATGTGAGATACTTGTAGGATACTTTACAGGAGAGAATGGGCTATTTGACCATGGCACACAAACAGACACACACACACACAAAAAAAATTGAAGAAAAAAAAATGTTAAAAAATTAAATAAAAATAAAAAATCGTTTTTTTTTCGTTTTTTGTTTTTTTTAATCATATTTTTTGAGGAAAAATCGTACTATCGTATTTACTTCTAAAAATCGTACGAAATACGATAAAATCGTAATGGTTGGCAGCTCTGGGTCACCCTTCAAGCAACCAAAATCATTGGTGTTAAAGTTGAAGAATTCTCCTACTCACCCTAATCTTCATGAGATGTTGGTATCTCTGAGATTTCATGTTCTTCAGCATATGACCTTCATCAAAGATAGCATACTGCATAGGTAGTTTCTTGAATATCCCTCTATCCTCAGGGGTATTTGCACATAGATTATACCTGGAAAGGAAAGTTCGGACTTCTTTAATATTCTGCACCATTAACAATACAAACTAGTTGGAGCTTCGACTGCATGACCTTTGACCTTGTGACCCTAAAATCAAATCAGTTCATTGGCTCTGCAAGAAACATTCTTGTCTTGAATATAATGGTAATCCGTCCACCTGTTCTAATAATAGTGTGATCACGAGCTGTTTTTGCATACATAATGAGCCCCACTATTCATTGAAGTCTCAAAGATTCATACCAAGACACTCTCTTCCTCTAAAATTCTTTCTCTGTTTGTCCCCACAGGAAAACATAAATGAAATGCCACTTACGAAGTTACAATCACATGGCATGACATGTTGTCGTAGAGCAAGGCATCGCGAATCTCTTGTCTGTCCTTTTGTGATCCGTGATAGAGGATGCAATCGAGGGCCGGACACCAGGTCTGGAGCTCCCGCATCCAGTTGTCGAGAGTGGACGATGGGGCTACAATGAGATGCGGTCCCTTGTTATTCTCCTCAAGGAGATGACAGAGGAAGGCAATGACTTGGATTGTCTTCCCAAGACCCTACATTAAAGAGAATGGGTGGTATTCTCACATAATCTAAATTACTTATATGAACTATTACGGTCAGGAAGGAGATTGCGCTCATTGAAATGACGGACAGGCCGATATTTGGGCTCATATGTTCCATACTCTATTCGTTTGTACAATCAAATGAAGTGAGGAGCATGTGGGCCCAAGTATCGGCTTGGCATGGTTTTCCTTCATTCCTTCTTTCACACTGATGTTAAATCTTTTTCATCATTTTCAATGAGTAATACTAGAATATAAAAATATTTCTATCTTGTCTATCTTTTATTTTGATGGTTCTTCTATGATTATAAACACAACCATATAGTTTCTCATATACTGGTATATATTACATATTTGTACCATGTGTGACCAAAACAAATTTCCATGTATTCTTGTGAATTTGGATGAATAAACAAAATTGAATTGAAAGAGAAAATAATTTCACAAGCTTACTACAAACACAGCAAAAACATATGTACATGAATAAGAATATTTTGTAAGGTCTATTAAAAATCTACAAGAAATATAAATTTGTAAGAAAATCAGAAGAAAACAGGATGTATAGTATACATAACTCTTATGTACATGTACTACATAAGAACCATTCCCATTTGTTTTTCCAGTTTCTTTCACAATGCAATCACAAAAAGTGAAGTTACCAAAGTACTCTATACACTTTACTTGACATGCATGCAAATTTTCATGGCTTAGGGGGGGGGGGGCCTTAGAAGCCCCCGTCCCCCCCCCCCCCCCCCCCCTCCTCACCAGGCTTTGTAGTTTCAAAATAATTTTATCAAACGAATTCGTTTTCACTGGCCGCCTGCCGTAGCAACAAACGGAATTAACAAAAGACTTAACTCCGTTTCGTTGACATTCATCCGTTGACGAAAGACTTCATGCATGGCTGATTGTCAACGAAACGGAGTTAAGTCTTTTGTCAATTCTGCTTGTTGGTAAAATTATGGAAATACAAGCACTACTTTAAACAAACAGAACTTTGTTATTCCTTCCTCATTTTTCCTGATTGAGGTGTCATATGAAAGAGTATAAACTCAACTTTCTAGAAATGTGATTTTCTCTTTAATATTCAGATACCGTCCGCCAAAAGACTTTTTGGTTTCCTCTCTTTAAATTGATTTTAATCACTCATGCTTGAAATATGCATCATATGAGTTACATCACATGAAAGAAGAGGATCTAAGCTGTCCAAACATGTGTCATTTATTAATCATAAATTTTACTAAGTTATGATAAAACATTGATAATTCTCAGTTTCATTTTTTCTGGGACGCACTGTATAGGGTTAACAGGCCATTCAATCAGTGTAGAAAATTGAGTGAGGAGCATTTGTTGTAAAAGCTTACCATCTCATCGGCCAGTATACCATTGACTTTCTCTGTGTGCATGAGCTTCAACCAGTTGAGGCCCACCAACTGATAGGGTTTCAACTGCATACTGTACAAAAGCAAAAGCAACGTTTTCAATTAATGCCATGAGTGCAATTCTAATTTCATCTTGAAATACTTATTCTCACACTTCGTGTTTTGTTCATTTGTGACCTAGGAAAAACAGACTGGTGATGCAAATTGAATTCAAATGAAGACAAAAATTCCCATGTTGAAATTATTGATATTGAAGATGGTGATAATGATGTTGTTTATAGCTGAAAACGTTGACGTTGATGATGATAATAACAAACAAAAAACAAACTAGATTGATCTTCCGACTGCGTGCAGTCGAAAGTGATTGGAAAGCATGATAACGGAAGCAATTTTCAAAATTAAAGTTTGATTGTAATCCATTAAGAGGTTATAAGAATATTGTGATTACAAGTTATTTTTCATATATCTGTATATGCATGACCCTTTGATCTTTGATCTCATGACCCTAAAATGTAATCAGTTCATTGGATCTGCAAGATACATTCATGTCCTGAGTTTGATAGTAATCCATCCGTCGGTTCTAATGATAATGCGTTCACATAGTTCACAACCTTTTTTTGCATACATAATGAGCCCCATGACCTTTGACCTGTGACCTCATGACCCTAAAATCTAATCAGTTCATTGGCTCTGCAAGATACATACACGTCTTGAGTTTGATGGTAATCTGTCTATCAGTTCTAATAATAATGTGATCACAAGCTATTTTTGCATACATAACTAGCCCTATGACGTTTGACCTGTGACCTCATGACCCCCAACTCTAATCAGTTCATTGGCTCTGCAAGATACATAAATGATCCAAGTTTGGCGGGTATCCACCTATCGGTTCTTGAGATAACGCGATCACGAGAGCGGGACGTACAGATGCACGTACGGACGGACGGACATAATGTAGAGACACTGATTTTCCGCGATCACAGAAAACGGACGGAATTCACGGAAATGACCATTTGAAATGGAAAATGCAATTTCGAACGGAAAGTCGCGGAAGACCCATTTCACCTCAAAACTTTTCATTTTTCAAGAAGAAAATCGTAAAACTTACACTATTTTTGTGATTTGTTATGCAGTGAATAAGTATCGGGCCTAAAATCATGGTTAACTCTGAATATTTAGCAATATTCGTCAGATTCTTAAGAGACTGGGCGGCGCTGCCATTTTGTTTCGCTGGACCGATAGAGATTGTGACACAAAACACGGTACAAATAGCAGCGAATCAATCCGATTATGCCAGCTCGGCGCCTAGTATTATGTAGACGTAATACTAGGCACACACACGCCAGCAGGGTGCGCTAAGTGCGGCGAGATAGTACACACGCTGTTGTACAGTTCGAAAAAGGGGCTGGCATGTGCGCCTAAAATCGATCGATCGCTGACATGACAGCCAAGACTGAAATGTTTTTGTCGACGTTGGTACTAGCTCAGCCTCTATCTGTATCTGTTTCATTCCTTCAGGAATATGTTGTGTTCTGACACATGCCGCTAAAGCCTCGGTCGCAAATGCCATTACGAACTGCTACGAACACCGTACGAACGATTTTCAGACAATGGAAATTCGGGAAGACAATGGAAAAACAGGGAGAAAAACACGGAATGTTACCTTCTGTTGAGCAGGGCTGGTTGTCTTGTAAGTTGACCATTGACCGCCAGGTCCGGGTTCTCAATGACCGACGTGACCTTCCTCTGGATGCGGTCTGAGATGCTGACGCACTTAGCCATCAGGTCCGTCATGACTCTACGCTCCTGGAACACTGCCTCACAATTCCAGATGAGACCAGAGCTCAGCGTCTTGGCCTCGTCAAACCTCTCCACCTGAACAACAAACACAAAACAAAACAAAACAAACAAATAACAAACAAATAACAAACAAATAACTTTTCATTGCAAGGGTGAATTAGGTAGCCTACTTTGAAGGGAAACCTTGACAGCATATGAGCAAGGAGATATAGGTCCAAAAACATTGCCTCACATCCCCAGACCAAACCACAGTTCAGGGGGGCGTTTCACAAAACTTGTCATCAGTGACAAATGACAGTTTTTGTTATAAGCTACTGAAATCCTTGCTTCTGATTGGTTATCAGTAGACATGTCACTGATTTTTGTCATTTGTCATTGTAAAAAGGCTTTGTGAGACGGGCCCCAGCTGTTTGGTCTCATTGAATCTCTCCAACTGAACATAAAAGAATAACAGTCTAACCTGCCTATTAATGTAATCACTATTTCTTTTCTATTCAAAATGTATTACAGTCTACATATATCACCTAATAAAGGAAGCAATATAGGTCAACATAACAGATAGATAGCCACTGAGACAAGGGTGACTGAACAGAGTTCTACGAGACAGACGTACATAGACGTAGCATATTCTAAGATGGAAATATATACTTAAAAGCAAGTTATTTTTCAAGAAACCACAAAAAACAGGGAACCTTAAAGTTGAAGTTCTAACACAAAATTTGATAAACAATAAGAACAGTTTGAAATTTTGAAAAATCATATAATTTCATAATTGGAGGGTATATAATAAGATGATAGTACTGCCCAACGGAAAACCCATCACTCGGAAAAGAACTGGAAATTTATTGTCATCCTTACCAGATCAGCAAAATCGTCAAATGGTCTGATAGAGATGATCTTCTCTGCCTTGCCCTTGGAGCATCCATCGATGCTGATCATCTCCTCTGCCGTAGCATCATTGAAGAAAGAGACGGCCATTGCCCTGAACTCTGGACTAACCTCTTCCTCCCCCTCATACTCAGAACCACTATCGCCATAGTGGAGATCCTCCTCTGAATCGCTGTATCGTGGCGCCCGTGGTGGTTTGTTAGGTTTGGTGATGGTTGCTTTTGTAGCTAGAAAGTGATTTGAATTTATTTCCATATTTCACAAATAAATTTAAACAAGTAATTATACAAACAAACAATACATTCAAAAAACGAAATACAATTAAATGAATAAATTGGAGACTAAAGTACAATAAAATATTACATAATCAACAATTTGTTTGTATATATGGGGGAACCAAAAAGAAGCAAGGCTTGTAAAAATATTTGGTTCCCAGGGGTAATTGTATCTAATCAATATTGATCAAGAAAAATTTAACAAAAGAAAACGAACAAGGTAAGAACAAAAAATAAAGAAAAAAATAAAGAAAAGAAAAGAAAAGCGTGAATATTTAGACGAAATGAATTTGTAAAATATAATAAAAGTAAAAAATAATGAGTTATTACACTTGCACCACAATCCTACCCTTCCTTGTATTACAGCTCTGAATTCAAAAGAAATTTGATGCTCAGGACAATTGGTAAATGAAATTCAAAGAGATTTCTCTACTCCTCCAAAATTCTTACTATATTATCTAGTATCTATGACTACAAGTTCTGAATATTTGAGCCATGATTTTTAATGCATCGAGTGAAAACATACACTCTCTAGTAACATCAGAAAACAAAAGACAATAGAATTTAAATCATCATCTGGAATTGTCTTAGTAAGTTTCTAATGTTTAAAGAACATTCCTACCCTACATTTCCTGTGTTAAAAAACATGCATTGTGTAAATGAGGTGTCCATTGTTTCCTCATTCACTCGGGCCTCAAGAAAGGCCTCAGGGAGAGTACCCCCAACATAATACTTCAATGATATTAAAGAGCCAAGTGATTTGTAAAACTAAATTATAGTTTTTATTCTGTAATCTTGAAATGTATGTTATTACTATCAATATGCTTGATGAATTTCAAAAAATTCAATCTGGAACTTGGAAGTCTGGTTAATTTGGTTTCTTACACTAACCGATTCGTTTTTTTTAACTCCTTCGTTAAACGATTGATGTGACCGCTATATGCAAATTTTGGCATACTACATTGTACGTCATCGTCATTACTCGACCGGTCCTACGCTATGCATGCCATATATTACTGTATAATGTGCTTGCAATGTGTACATAAAAACTTACAAAATCTGGACTGGTGATACTACTATGTAAATTTTCCTCTACGAGATTCACAGAATATATTGACTATTGCCGAAGCAAATTGTTATGATAATGATGAAAGTTGCATGGGTCAAGCATGGATCAAAGAAAAAATGACATCAATTTATTTGTTCAGTATTTATCAAATATGGTAAACACAACATTAATTTTTATTTTTGAACACATCAAAATAAGAATAACTCAGCTCTTTAAATGATTTGTAGCTTTATTACCTGCTTTGGCCTGCATTTTATTGGCAGTTGTCTTGGCTGAAGAACTGCTTTCATCTGAGAGAAACCCTGACCACACTTTCCGGAAGGGTTTCTTTCCTGCGATGCCATTCTGCGCCGACGATCCTTTTTTGTAGAACCCATTTGCAATCTTTCCTGAACCAGCACCAGTTTCGTCTTTGCTCTTGCTCTCATCATCATCGTCGTCGTCATCGTCATCATCGTCCTTCCTGCTGTCCAAAGACTTAACCTCGCTCTTCTTAACAGGAGACACATCCTCCATACTGTCAGACGAAAACGTTCTTATCCTCCGAAAGGTCTTCTTCGGCTTAACCTCTTTGTTCTTCTGTGGGACTTCTACGATGTCTTCATCGTCATCTGAAGAGCTGATGACCCTCTTGGGTTGTGGGCGTTTCTTCTTGGGCTGACTTGTGGATGGTTTCTGCAGCCATCCACTAAATGCATCCTGGACATACACATAAAGAGAAATATGAACTATTGGCGCTACACCACCTTTAAGTTAAGAGCAAGTGTCTTGACTTATCCACCAAAAAGGTTTTTTTACCATTATTTAGAATGAAATGTTGGTATTTAAACTTGCAGTATCTCTTTACAGAAGCATTACTTAAAGCTTATAAGTACTAGTTTATAGTAGGGATTAGACCACCCTGCAAGGTCACTGGACAGGTGGTTATCTCATCAACTCAGCTCTCAATTAACATAAGAAAAAGAGGATCATGGGGGACCAATGGTCACCGATTAGGCTTTGTTTTCTGTATAGAGGTAGCAAGTAATTATAAGTAGGACAGTGGGGCTTTAAAAGCTGAAATCTGAATATAGGATAAAAGCAGAATGAAATCCAGAAGTATTTCTTCTTTTCTTCTTCTTTTGTTGTTGTAATAACCAATACAGGGATGAGACAGAGAAATTCCTTAAAAGGAGGAAGATTAAATGGGGTCCGGGGGCAAGGCCCCTGGCGGGGGTAAAAACCATACTTAAATCATTTTATTCACCATCCATCAGCTTTCATAATCTTGGAATGTATTTTGTAGTTGTTGTTGTTTTGTTTTTTTATCATCATCAGCGCCCTCTTAAAGGGGTAAAAGGGGACCATGCTGCCTTTCTGCAGAAACTTTAGAATATATTTACGTAAAAGGACAAGCTTTCCTTGCATTCTGAAGTTCTGAATTTAAGAAATAATTGTTACCCCATCTAGCTTAAAGGGATTCTACAACATTGTTCAGATGAGGGATTTTTTTCCCACCCACCCCCCCCCCCCCCCCCACTCTCATCCCTGCAATAACATGCAAGATTTGGATACCCAAGCCTAATTACCTGGTAGTTCTTTGATTCTTCATTGACCTTCTTGGTAACAAGGGCTTCTTAGTTTCAAGTGTAGGTGAGGTGCAAACCTTGCGCCTTGGGGGACTCCCAAGCAGCATGAGGTCATTGGCTGCCTTGTTGATGTTCCAATCTGTGCACTGCAAGGCCCTCTTCAGTTCCTAAAAGACATGAAAGCAAAATCATTCACATACATTATACAATCAAACCTGCTTTAAACCTGCTTTAGTGACTACCTGTCTACAACGACCATATTTTTGTTTCCCTTGAAAATGGTTTCTCATTGAAACATGTAGTAACCTGTCTACAAAGACCACTTTTTGTGTTTCCCTTGGGCGATCGCTGTTGACAGGTTTGACTGTACATGTACATGATAATAGCCATTTGCTGTCCGTTCGGGGGTGGAGGGGCCCTGACCTCTTTACACAAAGTAAGTGTTCTTCAGGCTCCTAACAGATAAAATTGTAGCTCCTTAATTGTCACTGTCATATATCATAGCCGTCAAATGGTACATATACAATATATGGTTTTGTATTTGAACTGACATAATGTATTTGTTAGTTCCATTATGCTATACTGTAACCATTTGCTGTCTGCTTGGGCCGGGAAGGGAGCTGACCTGTTCCTATTTTTACTGAGTTAAAATCCCTCATCCCTCATTCCGCGGTTTTTTTTACTTTGAAAGTGTGGTTTCTTTGATTGTTCATTAACCCCTATCCTGTGTATTTACAAACAAAAGAATTAAGTTACCAGAATCGGTTTCATATCCCCTTTTGAATGGTTTAAAATGCCATCACATTTATATACAATTATAATTTGAGAAATAATAGCGTTGCAATTAATAATAATGATAATCTTTTAAAATCCACTCCAAATTTTATATAACTGAAATTGGAAATTCTTTTTGCCCAATTGATCGTGAGCCCGGCAGCCACTGAGCAGCGCCAGATCGACGTTGCTCTATCCCTTATTGTTGAACGCCAAACAAGGTAGCAGCAACTCCTGTCTTTTAACATCTTTTAGTGGTATGACGCGGCCAGGGTTCGAACCCACAACCTCCTGGTTGTGAGGCGGACACTCTACTGACTGAGCAAACACACCGGTACAATTATGTTCATTCTTTATGGGATGTCGTCTGCTTGGGCAGGATTGGTTCATATTGTGACGGCATTAAAACATCATTATCTTTCCGGCGAATCTCTTGTATATCCCAGATCCTTTGCAGGTGGTTTCATTTGTATTTTTATAAATCACCCGATATGTAGTTGACCTAAAACTTGTACGATGGCCATCTGTTAGCTTACCAGTTTCTATTAATGTTATTCACCACATTTGTGATTTTCTTGGAACAGGCACTTCAAAGGCGAATTTCCTATCTGCATTTTCTCTTTGACTGCAGATTGAATAAAACAGTTACACAATCCAAAGCGGCGTCCGTCCCTTTTTATCGATTGATCAAGTTATAATTATGTGTTACTAAAGAATTTGAATCTGGTCATGCGATTGCATTGTGAAAGAAAAGGTGTGGAATGGATCAGAAAAAGTTGATCATGTAGCATGTAAGTATTGGTGTGTACTGCATGGTTCTGGAGTCATCAAAATCATAATAAATTTGGTCCAGTCTTGGTAAAGTAACAAGCACTGTACACAGAAAGATGTATATGGGACTACACAAATGGTGTCAGGCCTACTAACCTTGATTTCCTTATCTTTCTATGCTCATTACTCGGCCAGTATATATTTTCTACCAAAATAGTTTGGCAAATGACATTTATTTGTAATCTTGAACATTCAGTGCAAGTTTTGTTCGATTCTGTGAGAATTCATTTTCCTTTTTTTACCAGAACTCAAGTTTATCTTTAAGATGATCCTAACCTTGTGATCCTTATGTGGGAAGCAGACCCTTAGCTGTTCCATGGCATCTCTCTTCATCTTATCCTCCTCCTCTTTCTCATCTTCATCACCACCCTCCTCTCCACCGCTTGACATCTCGGAGAGCTTTCTCTTCAACCCGCCAGACTGGTGCTGAGGTTGTGAACCCTCGGAACGATCTTCGTAGCTGTAAAGCACAGTCTCCAAGCTGTTCTGTGTCTCTACATCTGATATGCGAGTCGAGTCGGACTTTGTCTCAGAGTTTGATTTCATGTCCTGACTTTTGCCGGCAGAATGCGAACTTGATTCTTCCCTCCGTAACATTGACTCACTGTCCGATTCACTCTCATCAGAGTCAACAAAGCAGATCTGCTTCTTCTTGGTCCGACGGGAAGAAGACGGGCTGGATTGCTTTCCGTTTCCATTCGTAAGATGCTGTTGCTTGCCAAATGTGGGGCTCTTAGTACCGCCTGAACAAAAGGTGAAAGTAAAAGAGGTGTGTCGTCAGCAAGTTTTTAGAAAGGTTTTAATGAAATACATAATTAGTGACAAAAGAGTAAAAGCAAATAAACAAAATCATGAAATATGTAATTTTTTGACAATGCATGATTGATAAAGCAAACTCAATAGGGCCCTGCCATACACTCACGGCGAACAGTGGCATACAAACCTAGCCGTTGAGAGAGCACTGGGACCCGTTTCACAAAGCCTTTTTTCAATGACAAATGACAAATCTGTTGATGACCAATCAGAAGCAAGGATTTCAGTAGCTTATAACAAAAACTGTCATTTGTCACTGATGACAAGTTTTGTGAAACACCTCCCTGGTCTTTACTAGATGATGAAATATGAACCAATGATTGAGGGAAGGTGTAGGAAGGGTCATATACTCATCTTTTATCTTTTCCTTTCTGTCTTTCTTTTTTTCTTTCTTTCTCTCCTTTGCTATTTTCTAGAAAAGGAGATACTGCATACCCTTTTCCAACCCATGGACTATATCTCTTACCAAAATAGATATAAAGTCAAACCTGCTTTAGTGACCACCTGTCTACAAAGACCACCTGTCTACAAGGGCCACATTTGTTGTTTCCCTTGAAAATGGTTTCTCATTGAATCATGTACTAAAGGAACCTGTCTACGAAGACCACCTGTCTACAAAGGCCACTTTTTGTGTTTCCCTTGGGCGGTTGCTATAGACAGGTTTGACTGTAGTTTGTTTACCCCAAAGTTTCTTCTAGGCTTAAAGAAAGATTGTGTTAACCCACTGACGAAAGGGTTCCTGAAGCCTACAGGAATGTGAAATTTACAGGCTACTGAGCTGAGGTTAGTGAGCAGAAGAACTTTGAAGTACCTGTGGTAGGTGAGAGAAGGCTGGAAATGGTTGATTTGATAAGCGATCTCTGACTGTTCTCTGCAAGTCTTTTCTTGGCAGAAGGGAACACAGGGCTGCCTGATTCTATGGACTCCGGTAAGTCTGATGTTGGTGTCTCCGGAATGCATAAAATAGCTGAGATTTAAAGAAGTAAAGATCAACTTCAACTTGTAAATTCTATCAAATGTGAAAATTCAATAAATCATTAAAAAATAACCAAATTTATTGACCCTATCTCTTAAAATATGCACAGTAGGGGAAATACTTGTTGCATGCTTTTGGGGGGTGGAAAAGTGCATATTTTCTGCACCCCCGTCAACTTCAGTCAAAGAACTTTGATAGCGATTAACATGTCAGATGTCGAACAATGCCACTTTTAAAAAATATAAAATATGAACAAAAAAAATGACGTCTTTTTAAATACAGATTTTTAAAAAATAGACATTAGAACATAGATAGAAGATGTTTATGTTTATCTTGCGTTGATTTAAGCCCAATAGCTACAGCCATCTCAAAATGAGAAGCCTTGCACCTGGGTATTGGCCTGCTTATTTTTATGACTTTTTTAGATGCAGCGTGCACGCACGATCGGACATCAAATTTTTAGATCGCGATATCTCCAAAATCCTTTGACGATAAATTTTCTAGTTGAACAAATTGGTAGTAAAATACTTTGCCGTCCATTTGGTATTAATTAAAATAAATACATTTGTGTAGAATACGAGAAAACATGGATCGAATATCACATTTTCTAATAATGTTCTAAAATCTGAGCGAACATTGGTCACCCATTCATTCAAGAGGTCTGAGCATAAACTCTACTACAAAGTACAACTACAATAAAAGTAGGATCTACAAAATACAAGTACAATACTACATCATCACTCATCATTATTGCATATTAAACACTGCTAGAGTAGATTCAATGACAATTTTGATAAGCAATGATTATGATTAGATTTACCATCTGAATCTGGCGTTGTTGAGCGAGACAGTGTTGAATCCCCATTCATTTCACTGTGTTTCGCATTCACAGACGACGAATTTTCACAAATGCTCGACGTCTCTAGAACATTGTAACTTGATCCGGAAGCATTCAATTTCTTTTTCGCTTTCTGTTCAAATTTGAAACGATTTAGTAAAGAAGAAACACGAGTAGAAGCCATTATTACAAAATGTCTCCTCAACTCATTCATACAACAAGTACAAAGTGGTTCTCTTTACAGTAATCGTAATTGCACAACGGTAGCCTTGTAGCACTCTTTTTAATATTTGTATTCCTATATCATAAAATCTCCCATAAAATGTATTACCTATTCATTCGAGATAGTGCTTTGCTACATAATTAGATATAACCGAACTATTCAAATTTCTTATTTTGCTTAAAATTATGTTTAATTAACATGATTATTGATATAATACATATATTTTTCATCGCCGATTAATTATAATAGCGTCTGACTTAAAGGTCAAATTAACAAGTCCTAGCGCGCCGAGATCAGTGTAGCGCGCGCCTTTGAACAACAACGACAACAAAACTTTTTTATTTGGCTACTTTTGGCGACCAATAGCCGGTCGAAGTTAGCCCAGAAAACAATAGAATTCACGCTGTGGTGTCTTCGAAAAGGAAAATGGAAATGAATGTGTAACATGGGTTATAAAGAAAGAAAAAATAGATAAAATCGTGGCATATTAAAGCAGAACATATACCTTACAAACTGGTACATTTCAGGCGTTGAAAACGTCTAATTTCAATTTAAAGCTTATCTGCCGTAGTTTACAGGAGGGATTAAACCGCTCTACAAGGTCACCAGACAGGTGGTTATCTCATCAACTCAGCTCTCAGTTAACATAAGAAAAAGAGGATCATGGGGACCAATGGTCACCGATTAGGCATTGTTTGTTATATAGAGGGCGCAAGTAGCTACCAGTAGTGCAGTGGGCCTTTAAAGTTGAGATCATGATACACCCATTTAGGAAAACGGGGAAAACGCAATTCTACGGAGTTTATTAGTTATAAGCAAACGATTAGATGTACGTAATTTTTAGCATGTTAAGACAATTCTTTTAAAAAAAAAAAAAAAAAAAAAAAACGAAATTAAACTTTAAAAAATATAAATTCTTTAGTTTTAAGAGAATTTGGCCGAATTTTAAGAGTTGCGTTTGATGAAATACAATTATAAACCGGCAAATGCCGGGTTTATACGCTCTGTTCTTCCAATAATCCCCGAAATGCGTTTCTAACTTTGAAGGATTTTAAGACTATTGTAGGACATTTTAACTAAATAATGACCTTCCCCAATTTGAAGCTGAGATCTTATAGGTCACATGCCGAAACTTTTTGCCTGGGTCTTAATTATTCTAGAGTTAGAGCTCAAACTGGCAATTCGGAAGGCGTTATCTGCGCAATATAGATTATTATGGCTTACTTTTTCAACTTTGAAGGCTGTTAAAACTATCGTATGATATTTTAAATAAATAATGACCTGCACCAATTTAAAGCTGAGATTTAATTATTCTTTACACTTATATTTGTCACATGCCAAAACTATTTGTCTGGGCCTTATTGTTTTAGATTTAATATATAGGGCTAAAACTGGCATATCGGAAGGCTTAATATTCGCGCAATACGGATTATTATTACCAAAATGCGCTTTCAACTTTGAAGGCTGTTATAACTATCGTATGATATTTTAAACGAATAATGGCCTATACACCTTAAGGCAGAGATCCTACTTTTTACACTCAATTAGGTCACTTGCTGAAACTTTTTGTCTGGGTCTCAATATTATTTAGATTGATTTTAGATCTCAAACTGGCATATCGGAAGGCTTATCCGTGCACGCAATATAGATTATTATGGCTAAAATACTTATTTCAACGGCTGAATGCTGTTAAAACTATCGTATAACATTTTAACTAAATTATGGCCTACACCAATTTAAAGCTGAGATCTATGTCTTTACACTCATATAGGTTGCATGCCGAAAACTTCTTGTCTGAGTCTTATTGTTTCAGATTGAAGGTGGGGCTCAAACTGGCATATCGGTAAGACTTATCCGCGCAATATACAGATAACCATGGCCAAAATGCGTTTTTCAACTTTGAAGGCTGTTAAAACTATCGTATAACATTAAACATTTTAACTAAATTATGGCCTACATGATTGAATTTCAGATCTTACTCTTTATACTCTCATATAGGTCCAGGCCCGTACAAACTAGGGGTTCGCGGGGTTCGTGCGAACCCCCCCCCCTCCCTTTAAACAACAAATTAATAATAGTGCTCAACGAGAGGGAAAGGGGAAAAAAGGGAAAAAAGAAAAGGAAAAGAAAGGAAAGAAAGGAAAAGAAAGGAAAGAAAGGAAAAGAAAGGAGAAAAGGAAAAAAAGAAGGAAAAAAAGGAGAAAAAGAAGGAAAAAAAGGAGAAAAAGGAAACAAAAGATACGGGTGATGAAAGAGAGGAGAGAGAATTTTTTTTCCCTACGAACTGTAACTTTGTATCCGCTGTGACGACTTCGAAAGAGACTACAACTATAATACTTGTGTGGTTTATCTGTGTTTCGCCTTCTTACAATATCAGCAAAAGAAATCAGAGGTTTAACATTTTCGGGGAAACTAAATTCAGACAAGGATTAAAAGTCTAGAGTGGTACGACAAATCGTATTCTTTCTTTGATAAATTAATGAAATGTCAAAGCTTCCTTTAGCGCGGAAGGGGGGCAGGCGCGTAGCCATGCAGGGGGGCGGTGGGGCGGTCGCCCCCCCCCCCCCAAAAAAAAAGGGACGTAGGAAAAAAAAGGGAAAAGGAGTCGAGAACGGTACAACGAATCGTCTTCTTTCTCTAATAATTTAATGAAACGTGAAAGCTTCCGCGCTTCGCGCGGAAAGGGGGAAACTGAGTTCAAATTAAGGATTAGGAGTCGGGAAAGGTACTACGAATCGTCTTCTTTGTCTAATAATACGTCAAAGCTTCCGCGCTTCGCGCAGGAGGAGGAGGGGGGGGGGGACTGAATTCAGACAAGGATTAAGAGTTGAGAAAGGTTCAACGAATTGTCTTCTTTCTCTAATAATTTAATGAAACGTCAAAGATCAGCGAGAGGGGGGGGGGGGGGAACAGAAATCAGACAAGGATTAAGAAGTCGAGAACGGTATACTTTGAGTCGTCTTCTTTCTCTAATAATTTAATGAAACTTCAAAGTTTTGCGCGGGAGAGGGACTGAATACAGATAAGGATTAAGAGTCGAGAAAGGTACAACGAATCATCTTCTTTGTCTAATAATACGTCAAAGCTTTCGCGCTATGCGCAGGAGGGGCGCACTGAATTCAAACAAGGATTGCGAGTCGAGAAAGGTACAACGAATCGTCTTCTCTGCACCCACCCACCTAGAGAGCACGCTGCGCGCGCTCTTTAAGTGATTCGCACGCTTCGCGTGCTCACGACCGCCCCCCCCCTAAAATAAAATCCTGGATACGCGCTTGAGGGGGGGGGGGGGATCTGAATTCAGACAAGGATAAAGAGTCAAGAACTGTACAACAAATCGTCTTCTTTCTATACTAATATAATGAAACGTACGTCAAAGCTTCCGCGCTTCGCGCATGCAGGAGGGGGAAACTGAATTCAGACATAAAAGCCCCTCTGCACTACTTTGGCCAGAAGGGATTATACCTCCCTGCAAGGTCACTGACAGGTGGTTATCTCATCAAATCAGCCCTCAACTAACATAAGAAAAATGGGATCATGTGGAACCAACAGGCACCGATTATTAGGCATTGTTTGCTATAAAGAGGGCGCAGGTAGCTTGGGGCTTCAAGAGTCGAAAAACGGTACAACGAATCGCCTTCTTTCTCGTCTAAGCTTCCGCGCTTCGCGCGGGAGGGGGGATCCTCCCTTCCTTTACCCTCCCCCCCAGGGAGCGGGCTTTGCGCGCTCTTTAAGACAGCCATTCGCATGCTTCGCGTGCTCACTACCCCCCCCCCCCCCCCTCCCCCCCCCCCCCCCGCATAGGCCTACTGACTAAGTTGACAAAATAAATCGCATATTTATGTCGTCCAGGAAAATGACCATCTGCGCATACGCGAGTACAATAGATAGTTCATAGGAAAAATATTTTAGCCTTCGGCCCCGGGTTAATAATATTAAATTTGTAGACATTTTATAGGACATTTGTCGGTAATTGGTGGCTAGTTTTGTCGTTCCTATGCCTCCACACCTCCCCCCCCCCCACCCCACCCCCAATGAAAAAGGTCTAGCGACGTCCCTGCTTGCAATGTCTCACTTTCACCTCTGGCTCAAAGTTGGCAACCCTAAAGAACCCCCCCCCCCCTCCCCCCCCCCCCCCCCACCCCCCCTAAAAAAAAATAGCTTGTACGGGCTTGAGGTCACATGCCGAAACCTTTTGTCTGGGTCTTATTGTTTCAGATTGAATTTTAAACGCATTTTGTCCAATTATATAATATACTCGAAATGCCCGGATAAACCCTGTAGGCTATACCCGTATATGACTTGTAGAGTCCTAGATTCAATCCAAAACAGTAACCCAGACAAATTGCTTCGGCATGTGACATAATTATGTGAGAGTAAAGAATAGGATCTCATGCACCTTTCAAATGGTGTCAGTCATTATTTAGTTAAAATGTCAGTTTTAAAAGCCCTCAAAGTATGAAACGCAGTTGTCGTGGTCGAGTGAATACGTTGCCGGACTGTCGATCACAATGTCCGCGGTTTGAGTCCCGCCGCGGCACTAATGTCCTTTGACGAGACATTGATTTATACTTGCCACACTCCACCCAGGTGAAGTAAATGGGGACCTGTAGGAATTTTTTCCTTGAAACGCAGCACGCGTAACAGCTGCACTGCTAAAGCCAGGGTAATTGTGCTGCATTATTGTAGAGCGCTTAAAAACTTCTGATAAAATAAGTGTTAGGCGCTATATAGACTCTAGGCCTATTATTATTTTGTCCAATTATATTATACTCGAAATGCCCGGATCAACGCTGTAAACCAGTCATATGCCGGTTTGAGCCCTATATCAAAAACAGTAAGACCCATACAAATTGATTTGGCATACGACATATATCAGAGTAAAGAGTAAGATCTCAACTTTCAAATGGTGTCAGTCATTGTTTAGTTTAAATATCATACAATAGTGTTTAATACATCCAAATCTCTTACTAGTAGGCTAGTAAGTACTCTTTGCCGTTACCGTCACCCGCAAAATGCAAAATTTTCTTTTTTCATTTCGATTGTACGATTTAGAGACACTATAGACCTCATTATTGGTGGCTAGCCTCCTCCTTATTGGTCGCCAGTTTTAACGAACGTAGCTTTGTGGAAAAAAAAGCGACGAAATTAGAGTGGGTCTCATCGATCACGAACAAAAATGGAGATGTCTGGAAAGGAAATCGGGCTTTATAATCCAGAAAACATATTCTGGGCAATCTTTACCTTCATGTGGATCGTCTATGTGTGGGAAACGTACCTTTCTCATCGCCAGGTGAATATTTTCAGTCGGCATATGCACAGAAAGTGCATTGTAATTGGCTGCCCCATGTATTGAATTTTATGTTATTGTTTTTTTTTAATGCCTAGCCTAGGTCTACGTCTAGTTGATATTCAAAACATATAGACAAAGTAGACACAAACTTAACGAAGAAAAAAGGACTGTGCGCTAACTGAAGCACAATACAATTACATACCGTCCCAATGGTCGTGTGTTACTGTTAATAGGGTGTCTGATCGCGCACCCGATGTTGTGTGCTAAAATTCTTCCCATAGAGATTACACGCATCCCTATGCAGCCTACGTGCATTGCGCGACCATGCAAAAAAAGTCAAATTTTTTTTTTCAAATCGAGATTCAAACCTTTATCAGTTGTGATCCTGAAGGTGATAATCAATGAATGAGGTGTCATATGAAAGAGCAGGTGAATTCCAATATTTCCAAAGGGGCGTAGAGTAAAGGAGCCCGTAATCGGCCAGCTCCCGTTTTCGGCCGATTGGTTGGATACAAGGTAAAATCACTCTAAAATACATCGCATAATAGCATAACACATATCCCACACATACCATACCATGCCAGTGTCACTGAAGAACCACATTTGCAATGGAAAATATATCCTAAAATATCACATTTTAGCGATGTAATCGCCGGTCCCTCTACCCAAATCTGAAAAATCGAGTATCTTACGCGTGTCTGTAAGAAATATGGGTACCATAAAATGAGCTTTATTTCAAGTATTTTTCAGATTTAAAGCCCGATTTTGTGCTAGTCGCAAGCTCAAAAGTATGTCATCGCATGTATTAAATCAATGCAGCCGCACACGCGCGACGCACACACGATATCTCTATCTAATTCAGATTCCAACTTCCGATCACCGCTGTGCCCGTCTTCGGCCAGGCGAGCACCAGGGAGCTCCGGCGTGGGATACCTGCTCCGCCCGCTTGTGCTGTACATCAGCGCGGAAACGCACGGCGCGCGCGAGCGCTTCCTATTGACTTTGTACATGCGGCCGTAAACTGAAACGCTCGGCCGATAACGGGCTCCAAAACAGTGAAAATTGAAATGGATATTGTCATGGCAATTCGTGATTTTTTTCTGGGATTCTTTTTTTGTGTAAATAATAATAATATTTGCTTCATGATTTGAACAAGAAATGATAATAAATAGGAAGTAAAGAGTCCTAAAAATAGGATTTTGTCTTAAGTGGCCGAAAACGGGCTACTTTACTCTAGCCCCCGAAATTCTAAAAATATCTTGGTCAAAACAGCAATTTAAACATTGTGTCCTGGCTAACTCTGAGGTTTGTCACTTTTGAGATATGACGCCCCGATCGATAAGTAGTCCCAGTCCTAAGGAACAATTCTATGTGATTATATTTTCGCTAGCCCCCAGGGATCACAACTGATAACAGTTTAAAAATACCCTTCTCGCTATTTGGTGGATCAGCTAATTAGGGGGCATGCGCTCCGCTCAGTCCAAACCATGGTTACATCGCGTAACATCTCCGCGCACGAACGAAACCCCAAATTCAATTACACATTATAGTGACTGAAATTATGGTTGGAAATTCCCTCGATAAACCCGGAAGTGAATACACGTTATAGTCAATGGCAATATCGCGGAGACAACGTGCGTTGTCTCCGCGATATTGCCATTGACTATAACGTGCATTCACTTTCGGATTTATTGTGCGACGATTGCCAACCATACTAGTCAATCGCACATGTCGCGGAGACAGCGTAGCTCAAGCTGCAAGTCGCGGATTGGCTTAGCAGCATGCGTACGATATGCATACGCTTGCATATCGCGCGATACAGCTGTTTGGCTAAATTTAGCAAAACAACATCACTTTGCGTGGACGTCTTTTTCGACGATTTTGACCAAAATGATATGAATATACCAGCGTGTTGGAGGGGCTGTAACTTTTGATAGAAACATCGGTGAGACTTGAAATTTGAAATGTATTATTCTGATAACATTTTTTATTCAAATATCAAACAAAAATGGTGAAAAACGATCCCAAATTGAAATTTGAAAAATCGTTCAGACACCCTACTGTTAAGTTAGCTTTACGTGCGACATCCTTTTAGTTTTAAGGCAATGTGACGTCACTGCCAGTTCCTTAAAAATAAAACTGTTGTGCAAATCTTAAAGTCCCTAATATCACTTCCTGAATGGTGAAAATAAGTATGAATTGAAGTGAAAGGGTCTCAAATAATGTGCAAGTAATTTTTTCACTTTACCTTTTTTTTCTTCCTGCAGCGGAATGTGTACAGAAACACTAAAGATGTCCCTTCATCTCTCAAGGATGTGATTGACAATGAGACCTTCGAGAAAGCCAGGCTCTATGGACTTGATAAAAGTAGCTTCGGATTCTGGCATGGGATCTATGAACAGATTGAATCATCTGTAAGTCACTTAGAGCCAGGAGTTAGAGCATGGCTCCACACTCATTTTTAGGGAAGGGGGTTCGGATTAAACTTCCTTCTTCCCCCTTTTCCATTTTCCATCTTCTTATTGTGACAGGTCGAAATGTTTCCTAATTCTATTTGTTGAGGAGGTCCCTGAATGAAGGGATCCATGTCTCTGAATAAGGAGATCCCTTTAAGTGTACTTCTGAGGTGGTCCCTAAAAGGGGAAGTTCACTTTGACCTTAAGTCTGAGAGGGGTGATATGGGGTGATTTGGAGAGAAGAATGGTGGTCCCTAAAAGGGGAAGTTAACTTTGACCTTAAGTCAGAGAGGGTATGGGGTGATTTGGAGAGAAGAATAGATTTTTTGCCACATCATAGGGGAAGTGCACTTTGACCTTGAGTCAGAGAGGGTATAGGGTAATGAGAGAAAGGATATGTTGCCAGATCACAGATTGAGAGGGATGAGCATAGACCATGCATCCACTCAGGACTTAGGAGGTTGGATTTGACAGAGAAGCTAACTCTGAGTAGAACTTCATACGTAATAGTATTTCTGCAGCATCTATGAGGTCTCACTTCATCACTTGGTTGGAGATGGCAGTTAGTTGGAGATGGTGCACTATCTACATGTAGTTGGTCTAATTCTAGTCTCGTTGTCTCGTTAGGAGTCTCTCCTCGAGAGCTCAAGAGGGGGTTGATCCATCCTCAAAATAAATACCACCTACAACTCTAAATGACTTCGTCGAGTGTCATATGTGCCTGCTGTTACATTATCTGTTTTACTTCTCGTTTCGTGTCGTTTCGTGGTTGTTTGTTGTTTTGTAATATTGTCTTGTTTTCCAAGTCATTGTAGGCAAAATTTGAAATGATTATAATTTTTTCTGGTGGATCTACAAACAACAAGCACTGCTTTTTAGTGGATCCCCCTCGCCCCCCCCCCCCCCCCCCCCATTTCCTCAGAAATTAAGAATTTCTTCTAATAATTTTATAATGTGCAAAGTGTATTTGTATAGTTATCAGAAAAAATGAATTATGTATGAAAAAAATGTAATACCTTAGTTTATCTTTCTGTGGGGAAATGAAATAAATATGAATTAAATTGAGTATGAGGCCTATTTAAAAGTTTCGAATTTGGGTACCTGACTTATTTTTGGGGGTGCCCATGTCTCCCAGGTGTCTGTAGCGTCAATCCTTGCTTAGAGTATTGGTGAAAGAATTTTATTCAGTAAGGGTGTTAGCCATGTAGGTGTGATCTTATGCTTTTTTAAAGTTGTTATTAATTTTTTATTTTCTCTCAAGAACCAAGTGGTTCCTGAATTAAGCAAATGAGAATAGGAGTATTCATGAGTTAATGGTCTATATCAGTATGATTTATTAAGCTTTGATGCAAAGGGGAAAAATACAAGTCAATTGTTGCATATTTTTCTATGATTCCTTATAAACCTTGATCCTGAAGTTTAAGATTAGACTTGACATATTTTCTTCTATTCTGTTCTTCTTTCCCTCTCTCTCTCTCTCTCTCTCTCTCTATCTCTCTCTCATGTACTTTAAAAATTTACCCTAGATTTATTAGACTGTTATTTTGATATCAGTTTCTAAAGAATGTATGTCCTGAGTCTCAACAAACATGCATTTCCGAGTTCCAAGTAAATAATGATTGAAACTTTTGACAATTTGGATTTTTCCTGAGAAAGAAACACATGAGTTGAGCTATCACAATATGATAATAATAATAATAGTGTAAACTTATAGTGCAGGGACGCTCATGGCGCTAGCTCAGCAACGGTTCTCTTTAATACACGTACAAGTAAAGTAAATGTTTATTTGATATTAATAGAGTTACACTATCAGAAATTCAAAAACAATTTTGCAACATATGTATCACCCATTTCAATCCTCAGCTCAGGAGGAAAAATCTGAGGTTTCAATTGTCTTTCATTTGTGTTCTAGATCAATATGATTGTATAATGAAAGTGCAAATGAATTTTGCTGAATGCATGTAGATATTTATTTGAAGTAATGGCCAGGTGGAAATATCTGAGGTTCAGTTGCCTTTGATTTGTATTCTGCTAGATCATCCTAGTGCTTGGCGGTATCCCATACCTGTGGATGATGGCCGGAAGGGTCACAGGTCACTTTGGCTTTGGACAAGAATATGAGGTGAGTATCTCTGCTATGTCATCTGAATATACATGTACTTTCCATCCTGTGTTTTATTAATTTGGTGTCTTGGGATTCAGGATTTGCAAATGGCTGATAATATACTAAATGGAAAAGTGGGTTCTAGTCATATTGTTTTTGTAATCATTGTACTTTACTGCTTTTAATGTGTAATATTTGTATTTTGTATACATGGGATTGTGCAATATCATCTGCGAACCCTGGTTCAAAGGTAACCATTTCTTTCCTCTTCTCCTTGCTTCTCATTTCCCTCTCTTTCTCTATTATTTCTTAAATAGTTGAATTTATTACATGTATGTTGACTTTGTATATAGTGTGAATTTCTGATTTTGATGGCCAAATAATGAAATAAATAATAATAATAATATTACAGGTATTGCAACCATGTGTCTCTTTTAAGGAGTTTTCCATTTCTTATTTTGTCCCCCAGATCACACAATCTTTGGCCTTCATGCTGCTTGCCTCTGTGTTCTCTACATTTGTTGGACTGCCCTGGGTTCTGTACAGTACGTTTGTGATTGAGGAGAGGCATGGCTTCAACAAACAGGTAACAGCGATTGACCCGAAAATCTTGAAATCTATTGTCAGCTTTAAAAAATTAAAATAAAATTACCTTTTTTTTTTTTAGAAGAAAAAATTAAAGCATTCAAAAGTGAGAAATATTAACCCTAGGAGGGAGGGGAAAGAAAAAAAAGTTTTACAAAAAAATTATTTCTGACGGACTGACCCATGATTTGGCACCTAAAGGGCAATACAAAATCTTTTTTTGTTAGGCGTTAGATTGGGAAGGCAATGGATTTTAGGGTCTAAATAATCAAGTTTTTCTTGTGCCTTTTACCCATTTGGCAACGAAAGCTTTATTTTAGATTTTTACTGTTGCAATATCCATATGAAACGTCATGTATTGTTCTTTGTGCTCTTTTTTTAGACCCTGGGATTTTTCTTCAAAGATCAGGTGAAGAAGTACATTCTCATGCAACTGATATCCCTTCCTATCCTAAGTGGTCTACTCTACATCATCAAGATAGGTGGACAATACTTCTTCATCTATGCCTGGGTCTTTACCCTCGTTATCTCATTGGTAAGGACATTTTGTCAATTTTCTCTTTTCTGCCCCCAAATTGATTCACTTTCTTTGGTCAGTTTGCCTCTCTGTTTTTTGTTTTTACTCTGTCACTAAATAGCTGCCTCAATTTTCTCTTTTTGTTCTTTATCTTCCTTTACCTCTGCACACAGGTAATTGCTGAGCAATGAAAAACAAAACATTGTGATTGGCTAATGTTCCTGCTAGATTGCTTCTTAACTCATATCCAGCCATAAGGCCGCATGCACGCAACCGTTATAGTGCTTTGTACACGCGAGCGCACTATCGATTGGCTGCTTAACTCACGCAAGTGAGCTACTGCTTCGCTGCTTCATGCATGTTTGCTCGCATTCGTAATAGCAGTTATTGTTCATGTACATTGCACTGTGCTGAGTGCTTCCCACGCGCTATAGATCGCACCTTCAGATTATCAGATTATCTCAAAATAAACTTGGCACAGGGGGGATTTGTGGCCTGGCACAATGGAGATTAGCCCTGTGGCTCTGGGCTGTATTCATTATGGCAGGATAAGAGCTAAATAGGCATATCTTTGATTATTACGGACCTGGGGGAAAGCATGGGTGTTTCATATTCAGGGGTTCGGAAGTAGAAGATTCGCAATAAACAAATTCAAAATGTGTGAATACTCTTTTGTTAATTGTGATGATCATGAATAACATTTTGTATGTTTAACATAAATCTGACATTTTCTTCATTGATGAAAGGAATAAGCCTAATGAAAAAGTTTACTCAACCACATCAAATAATGAGAAAGTTATGTGGTGGTGGTTATTTTACCTGACTGCATTATAACATTTCAATATATGATCTTCCGTTTCTGATCCTCTGCGCGAGGTTGACTGTAGTTACTTTTAAATGACTGGTCAGTTCACTGTCCCAGTGTATTCAATGTGATTACATTAAATAATAAGTGTAGACTTGAATAAACCTGCCATAACTTTGCTAACTTTGTCTTTTTTTCTTAATTTAATTGTCAGTTCCTGATCACAGTATATGCCGACTACATTGCTCCACTCTTTGACAAGTTTACACCCCTCCCTGAAGGAGATCTGAGAACCAAGATTGAAGAATTGGCAAAGAGCATTGATTTCCCACTCTACAAACTATATGTTGTTGAAGGTAAAATATATATATATATTTATCTCTTTATGCACAAGTGAAGAGCCCTGTCTTCCACCTGTCATTAAATGAAATTGTGTATTCTGATGCTTAATTCTCGCGTTTCACAATACATGCGCCACCAACGTTCATACCATGAGAGGCACCAGCACGTCAACATCATTTTTTTTAATCCGATGGAATTTTCACTAAGGCTATGTCTTGGCTCCTCATCTCGCCGATAGTATCGAGATCACAAGATGTCTAGCTAGTAATCTCTTTGTGAAACGGTTTGGGAAGATCAGAGACATCTCCGTAGTTAGCGGATAAAGGAATGACTGTCTGGTTGTTGGTTTCGAGAAACAGCCCCCTGATTTGTCAAGAAAGTTGTTGACCCATCTCCCCAAATTACCACGCTAGAGTGACTGTCGCAACTGAAATGAACGAGGGCGCAAGGATTGTGAAACGCGAGAATTTATATGAGCTCTTGTGAAGAACTTTGTATTCTCACTGTTCAAACTCAATGTCATCTTAGATATAGATGAAATTTCATGTTCTTATCCTAATGATCTCTATGAACTCGAGTAAAGAGGATTGTATTTTATTTGTTGTTGGAGATATATATCTTAATTGCTCTGAAACACTGTTGTGGCTTCTAGACCTTTTCCATGATCTTAAATGCATTGAATTTTATCAATATGTACTTGTTAAACTTTTGAAACCATACAAAAAAAGACAAGCATAATATTAAATCAAAATACACATAAGAAATTGATTAAACAAAAAGATTCACAGGATAACCTTAGTGACCAATCATATTTTAAACTCAGAAATAATAGCCGAGATATTCCCGATGTTTCTCTATATTACAGGCTCCAAACGTTCCTCTCACAGTAATGCATATTTCTATGGATTCTTTAAAAACAAGAGAATTGTTCTCTTTGATACCCTCCTAGAAGACTACAAACCAGCCGTTACAGAAGAGGTAAGTTTAAAGGGGATTTTTACAGACATCTGAGCAGTCGTTTTACAAAATCATATTACACTTGTTGTAATCCTAAAAGAGCTAATCAGTAAATATGAGACCATATTACCCTCTCATGAAAAGCCTATGGACTTTACGTGTTAAAAAAGATGTAAATAAAGTCTCATATTCACTGCGTCGTATTTTGTCATTTTCATTGTGCATCTATTATGGGTACGAGAACCTGCACACTTTGCGCGCACTCTATTGTGACGTACATGTAACAATCACACCAAATTAGGTACACCGTTTGCAGTGTATTGACAATTTCGTCAAGCACTGGATGCACAGTGCTGGTTTGACAAAGTTTTTTTGAGTTCTATGAGATTGTCATGGTTGATTTATGTATTTGCTCTAGATGTCTGATTTGGATAACAATATTGACTGGCTTAACTTTCGGGAGATACCACATATATTGCCCTCACAAGACCCATATTGCCCTCGTCTTTGACTCGGGGCAATATGAGTCTAGTTTGGGAAATATATGTTGTATCTCCCTCAAGGTCAATCCATATTATATAATTATCACCTGAAAAGAATCCATCAGACACTCAATTTTTGTTAAACCACAGCAGTTCAGAATTTTCTTATTTTCTAAATTATTCAGTTTTCATCCACAAACTATTTTTATTTTCATTCCTTCATAGTAGGAATGGATATAAAAATGTTTAATTAATGAACCAATGTGAAAGAAGATATCTAAATTTAACCAAAGATTGCCAATATGTACAGGATAATTATATACTATTGGCTGCCCTTGAGTGGTATCGTATATCAGAAATATTGCATTCAGCTCATGAAAATCGCACGAGTTGAAGACAAGTGCAATATTAATGCCAGCTGAATGCGACATATCTAATATACCAGGAAAGAAAGCCAATATTATTGTGACATTTAGAGGATTGAAAAGATCAACTTATTTATACCAAATTCCAATGATAATGCACTACATAAAACAAGAAGTTTCATGGCAAATTCCCAATCCAGCAGTATCTTGTCTAGTCTTAAAGCAAAATTTGGTCAGTCAAATTGAAAGATGATCCAAATTTTGAATATAAAGTGGTGTTTAAACACAAAAATAGCAACGCATTTTACATTATATACAGATCTTTTTGTGATTGATTCCCTCGCTCTTCTATCTCCCTTTCACTATTTTAATGACAGAAAAAAACAGATGAAGAAGAGACAAAACCTGCCGATGCAGAGGGAGATGGGGAAGAAGAGCAGAAGGTAGATGAAGAGAAGAAAACAGAAGAGGAGGGAGAGAAGAAGAAGAAGACGGGATGCAACACAGAAGAGGTTCTTGCTGTTCTAGCCCATGAGCTTGGTCATTGGAAGCTAGGACATAATCTCAAGAATCTTATTATTAGCCAGGTAAATCATTTAATACTTGAAATTTTGCAAGTCCAGGTAAATTATCCTACATGTTATTACTGGCTACATCATAGATTTATTGGGTGTTATTCTCATAAGTTGAGCTTCTATAGAATGCTAGGTGGCATCTCCCTCCTTCAATATTCATGTCAAAGATAATCTACCAAAGACTTTGTTGAAATTCAGTTCATACAAATATTATCTTTTTCTTCCCATTACATTACAGAATTCATTTTTTTTTACACTTTTAATTGCAGGATCAAAATAATCTGTACAGGGTAAATGAGTTGGCAACAGGCACTCCATAAAAGTGTGGACTAAGTTAAGCCAGGCTTAACTTAGTACGCGCTATCGCAATACCACCCATCATATCTGATGATTTTATCACAAAAGGAAGATGGCAATTTTGCTTGTAATCTATAACATTTCCTTTTTTATACTGATTCCATACCTGATATCTGTTGAAGAAAGAGAGAGAGATAATCCAAATATGTGTGCCGCTGCTCAGCATTGTTGTACAGTCAAACCTGTCTATAGCGACCGCCCGTGGGAAACACAAAAAGTGGTCTTTGTAAACAGGTGGTCTTTATAGACAGGTTCCTTTAGTACATGTTTCAATGAAAAACCATTTTCAAGGGAAACAAAAAATGTGGCCTTTGTAGACAGGTGGTGTTTGTAGACAGGTGTTCACTAAAGCAGGTTTGACTGTAGTGCCTTGATGCACAACCTTGGCTTTAAAGCTCCTAAAGGTCTATTTTTCCAGGCATTGGCCTTGGACTTGGGCTTGGATGTGAGGGTTTAAAGCCTTGACATTTTCTAGCAAATTTAAGGCATTATCAAGGCATCAATAACAAATTGTTAAAAATAGTTTGAATTCTTTGTGGGATAACACTGTTATGAAGGCAAAATAACAAATGTATCAAAACATAATAATAATAATAATAATAATAATACATATGATTTATAAGGCGCCAAATCCACTTGACAGTCAAATGCTCAAGGCGCAGCTTGTGCAAAAGATGAAATACATACATGATACATTTATACAAAGTGCGATAGGAAAGGTAATAGGCCTCAAAAATGAAAAACCTGCACCCGGTACTATTTATAACAGGTGCAGATACTGTTGCATAATTAGCTGCTCGGTTGGCATAGGCTTCTACTTATCTGTTATATTCATCCCATGGTCATACAAATCACCTGGCTTTATAAGCTTATTAAATCTGAATTAGCAGTTATTCATCAACCCTCGAAATGTATCAATAGTTATGAAGTATTGATCTGCCTTTAATGAATTGTTTTGCAATTAATCAATGGGACAGATATTTAAAATCAGATTGCAAAGTTACCAAATAACTTAAGTCAATTCAAGAATCCTACCACTAGATCATGGATCAGACAACGACAAAATGGTCCTGCTACGTGCTATAACCTGCTTTAGCAGTGTAAACATTACATTTTTTAGAGAGTCCTTTTCATTTAAACATATTATTCATTACCTGTAAGATCAGATAAATATTCAGGATATTTCCTTAGAGGTATAGACCACTTCTGGTCATGCAATTGCATTGTGAAAGGAACGTTGTGGAATAGATCAGAAAAGGTTGATCATCTAGCATATAAATATTGGTGTGTACTGCAAGGTTCTGGAATTATCAAAATGATAAGAAATTTGGCCCAGTTTTGGTACAGTTACAAGCACTGTACACAGAAAGATGTATATAGGACTACGGGATATCAATCCAGGCCAGATAGATAAGATAACTTACCAAAATATATGAATTAGTTGTCGGTTTCCCGGCAAAATTTGTATCCTCACGTATTAGACAAAACATATTCTTTCACATGATTGGTAAAAAGAGCTTCCATTTCATTTTTTGAGAGGGGGGCATTTCCAAAACTGGTCTATACCTTTAAGCATTTGTTTTGTGATGTTCTTCCTTGTCTCCATACAGGTGAATATATTATTGTGTCTCTTCCTATTTGCCCTCCTGATTGAGAGGACAGAATTCTTCAATGCCTTTGGTTTCTACGACGCATACCCCACCCTCATTGGACTCCTCATCATATTCCAGTTCATCTTCTCACCGTATAATGAGGTATGTAATGTTAACTGCTCTGCTTGTTAACTATGCTTTTCTGCTATGGGGAGTGTTTCACAAAGACTAAGATCGACATTAAGTTGGACTTAACTATGGCAGGCCATTCATGCCACTGATTGCTATCACCATTGGTCTCTGAATTATGATCTTTAGATAATATTTTTTCCTTCAATAATGAACTATCAAAAAATGTAAATTTGTGACCACAAATGATACGTCCCTTCAGAGACCGATGCCAGTAAATGGTAAGAGCAAACAGTGGCATGAACAGCCTGCCATAGTTAAGTCCAACTTAACGTTGATCTTAGTCTTTGTGAAACACTCCCCTGGTCCCATATTCATGAAAATGCGCAGTTGACCTAAAGTAAGACATTGGACCGTACTGTGTCCCGACACATATGGTCATGTAGTCACAATTCCAACACAGATAATCAAGTAACACCACCTTTAAACCTTCCATTGCTAAATATTGTTTCACTTGTAGTTCCAAACAGTGTAAGGTTTGTTTATACTCCACTTCAGTTCAGTAGAAACATATTGATATCGAATCCCAGTTGTAGGAATCCACCGATGTATCACAAATAATCTAAGCAATATTGAGAATAGATTCCACATATTAAGAAAGGTGCTTGCCATGGGCTTGAAATGTTTGTAATACTCTGCAGTTCCTCCTGCGTTTGGAGTTTGCATGTCAGAAAAGCCAACTTCATAGGTAAAATGGTAAAAATTTGCATCCATTTGTTGTACTTTAACCCTACGTTAACTGGGGGGGGGTCAATTTGACCCCCCCCTGTAGAAATTTCGCGACTACTCCGAAACCGCGGCAGATATAAAATTTTCCTCTCGTGACTTTTTACTTTCGAGTGTTACGCATCTTTTAAAACAATTTTTTTGAAAATCGGACCTACGGTTACAAGGTCGCGTGACCTTTTGTCTTTGCATGTCAGCCCGAAAATCGCTCATTTTCGTGATTTGTGTACAAAACATATGTAAAAGTCATTTTTCCTAAAAATAGATAAAACATTGGTTATTCAGTCTTGTTTAAAGTTTAGATGTCTGTTTTGGGGTCAAAATAGTTGAATTGTAGTTATAAATGAAATAAAACAACAAAAACAATAAAATACATAAGTTAAAAAAACAATGAAATACATAAGAAATTATAAAAACAAGAGATAACATAAGGAATAACCTGGCTCTTCCAATTTTTTGTGTTGTATTATTATTCCAAATGGTCTAATAAATATATGTAGTGAAAAAGAATACTTAAATATTAATAATCTATGATTTATGGGCCGAAATGTGAATTTTATGACCTTATTTGCATAAATTACCATAAATATGCAAATGAGTGAATTTTTCAAAAATTTGAAATTACCATAGTATTCTATACACTTCACTTGACATGCATGCAAATTTTCGCGGCGATCGGCGGTGAAACGGCCGAGATCTTAGGGGGGGGTCAAATTGACCCCCCCCCCCCAGTAAAAACCTGGTCTGAAATAGCCCAGTTAAAATAGGGTTAATTTATACATCCTGGCAGAAAATACTGTGTTACCGGTACTTTTTAATACATGGAAGCCTGTAGCTAGACCATTTACATTTGATTTGGTGTTCCTATTCAAACAGGTTCTATCCTTCTGCATGACCGTGTTGACGAGGCGTTTTGAGTTCCAGGCTGATGCCTTCGCCAAGTCCCTCCAGAGGGCGTCCTATCTGCGTATGGCCCTCATCAAACTCCACAAGGACAATCTAGGCTTCCCTGTCGCTGATTGGCTCTTCTCTGCTGTTCACTACTCACATCCTCCTCTCCTAGAGAGATTAGCTGCCCTAGGCAAGACTGACTAGGTCTAGATAGTCAAAGCTCCACAAGGACAATCTATGCTTCTCCGTCGATGACTGGCTCTTCTCTGCTGTTCACTACTCACATCCTCCTCTCTTAGAGAGATTAGCTGCCCTAGGCAAGACTGACTAGGACGGACTAGATAACCAAAGGCCACCGAACGTGTCATCCTGACTAGACTGGATTTTAAAAGAACCTGAAAAAGGATTGCAGAAATGACTCCTTTCGAAATGTGAAATTTACATGATTAAGGTCCCAAATTGTCACATGAAATTTAAAATACAAACCACAGGGTGTTGTAAACATTCAAGTTTATAGAGTAGAGGCCTAATCTGCTGTGATTTTGTTGTAATGTCATGCCAGTTGCATGAGTGGTGACCAACTGGTCACCAAATTGAATTTCCTCTTACAGAAAGGTTTGAAATATGATGCAATATATATATTAATATTCATGTGATCATTCAGGACTTCAGTCAGTTTCATCTCACATTCAATGATGTTTCTTTGAAGTCTTATCGTAGTTGGATCGCGAGGTTGTTGGTGGCCTGATGGAAATCTGATCATTCCTGGTATTGCCTCATTCCCCTATTACCTGTAGCTTATACAAGTGGAATTGCATGGTAAACTATTCATTGATGAAAGTATAGATGCACAAAGTAAGAAGTATTGTAAGACTTAAAGAGAAGGTTGAGTTCTGGGAAGAGGTGTAAAATAATTTGTAAGCGTTATCATTGTTATTATGCAAGTGTGGAAGAACATCAGATAAAACATGTTCCCTGAAATGCATGGCTCTCCAAATACTTTCATATTCTAGATATGGCATGTAACAGCATGAAAATTGGGACAGATTTTCATGCCACATGTTTGTGTAGTCCTATATACATCTTTCTGTGTACAGTGCTTGTACCAAGACTGGGCCAAATTGTTTATGATTTTGATGACTCCAGAACCTTGCAGTACAAACCAATACTTACATGCTACATGATCAACTTTTTCTGATCCATTCCACACCTTTTCTTTCACAATGCAATCGCATGACCAGAACTCAACTTTATCTTTTAATAACCCATTGCCTATAGGAAGGTGTATATAATCCAGTTTGCGAATGGGCAGATAAATTTTATTCGTATAAAAATCGTAAAACCCACCAAGTTGAATACAGGGTATGTGCTTATGAAAGTTACATTATTCATTTATAAACTGATGGTACATTCTGTGGATCACAGGTGGAAGAACTCTTCTCAAGAGGGCAAATGAAGGGTATTCATACAGTACAGCCATGAATTTAGGTATGATTATTCTAATATGCGCAAAGTGGTTTTCCATGTGTATTAAAAAGATTTGTGGATATTGAGGGTCATTTGTACTATGTGCTAACTTCAAACTGGTCTATTGGACAGTGAAGATGATATTGGTACATGTCGAGGGGTCGGTAACACCAAGACGGTTTATGTGTCACTGAGCACTTGGGCCTTAAGGAGTTAAGTCTGTTTCACTAGCCACTGACTTCAACGGGGTGTTGGGTGGAGTTAAGTCTTTGTGTTTCCTAGAAAGCCCACATTTTTCTGAACATACTCATTTTGGCAAAATGTAGAGTTACGTCTTTGTGTCACTGAACCCTTGATGTTTACTTTAAGAAACTGTATTTCATTTCTCTTGGACATTGTGTTTTATTATTGAAGTACATGTAGATCAAAGCTTAGTGTGGAAAGCAAATCGGATCACTGATCTACATGTATTTCTTTATATTTACTTTATTTTTCTGGTACTAATACCGCTTAAAAATATATAAAAAGTTTGAGAAGTTATGCAGGGTCAAATTTATAGAAATCATCACCCGCTTCACTCAAATTGCTCTCACATTTATCAAACAATTTTTATTTTTAGAAAAAATTCTTGATCGCCAGTATCAAGAGGTACTCTGATCGTTCACTAAATATTGTCTACGTCTTGTAGCTATTGCTTCTGTGGTATTATGATATTGTACCTGTATTCTACTGGATGTCATGCTTTTTGTTTAAATGCACATTTTTCTTCTTTTTCTTCTTTTTCAATAGAAAATTTCAGCTGTTAATAAACCTTCCATCGTTCACTTCAACAAATCAGTGTTTTATTATGTGTATTGATCATGGGAAAAGGTACGATTATATGCCACAACTTCATGGTATGATATTAAATCTCTTCAGTTAAAAAAAATATCCTATTGTGTATTATGTGGGTTCTTTAACTTGTGATATTTCATAAACCTCCATTGCCAAGTAAATTAATTCCTTTGTCATTTCTAAGTGATATATCAATGTATAATAGGTGTTGATGGAATTAGATCTGAAAAGTTCTGTAGATAAATAATAAACCTGAATAAAACCAAACAAAAACATAGTGGTAATACTGTGCATGTACATGTATTAATGAAAAGAGGCAAAGTGAGAGGGGGAGGCGCAGCTCTATGCACAGTGTCCCATATCTGAATGTTCCTGAGAACCAGGGAAATTCAGTATGTGGATTAAGTCAGTATTTTACGTAGCCTTTTTGACGATTAAAGATTACATCCGAGCATGTTGCTTTAGTAAGCCCACTTGAAGGCAAATAAACTTGTGCACAATAAATGTGTTGCATTACAAATTAAAGTACCTAGGACTTTTTGTTTCAATTGATAAACTCCCATTTCTTTACTGTACAGTACATAGGCAAGGCATTGTCCCCTCATGGATATTGTTCTGCTCCTTCTTTTGAAACATCATTACATCATGATGACTGCACATTGCTGAACAACATCCATTGACATAGTCAAAACAAATTAAGTCCTAGGTACTCCAATTTGAACAGCTGCTCTTATACCTAGGTGGGGGTGCTGCTTAACTTTTTGCTCGCTTAATAATTTTCAAAGCTCTTTGAAGTTTGAACAATATCCATTGACATACCCGGTAGTCAAAACAGATTTATAGGTACTCCAATTTGAACAGCTGCTCTTATACCTAGGTGGGTGTGCTGCTTAACTTTTTGCTAGGTTAATAATTTCCAAAGCTTTTTGGAAGCACTTTTATTATGTGTATCTATCACAGAGGTATGATTGTATCCTACAACATATATTGACCGTTAGTCGAACAAATTTAAGTCTTGGGTACTCCAATTTGAACAGCTGCTCTTATACTTAGGTGGGGTGCTGTTTAACTTTTCGCTAGGTTAATAATTTCCAAAGCTTTTTGAAAGCGCATAAACGTTGTATAATGTGATATGCGCTATACAAGAACCGAATATTATTATTAATGGGAAAGTGAAATATTCATTTTTCATAGAATACCTGCTCCTTCTTAGTTGGGCTATGAACTTATCAATACCCCTTGTAAATATGTGCTAATATCATTTTGCACAGCTAATGACAACTGCTAATAAAGGCCTCCAAAGTATTTGGCTTAAGCCTGCTTACACCGAGGTTTAAAACTTGGCGAACTAGATGTATTTTACCTACTACACTGAAAGACGAATTTAAAAATGTGTATTTATTTCATAAGTATTGCATTGAATACCTGCTGAGAAGCCCATGACTATGTGTATGGACAAAAGTGTGATGAGGACAGTATGAAAGGGTGATGAAGACAATATGAAAGAGAGATGAGGACATTATGAAAGGGTAATGAGGACAGTATGAAAGGGTGATGAGGACAGTATGAAAGAGAGATGAGGACAGTATGAAAGGGAGATGAGGACAGTATGAAAGGGAGATGAGGACAGTATGAAAGAGAGATGAGGACAGTATGAAAGGGAGATGAGGACAGTATGAAAGGGAGATAAGGACAGTATGAAAGAGAGATGAGGACAGTATGAAAGGGAGATGAGGACAGTATGAAAGAGAGATGAGGACAGTATGAAAGGGTGATGAGGACAGTATGAAAGGGTGATGAGGACAGTATGAAAGGGAGATGAGGACAGTATGAAAGGGTGATGAGGACAGTATGAAAGGGAGATGAGGACAGTATGAAAGGGAGATGAGGACAGTATGAAAGGGAGATGAGGACAGTATGAAAGGGAGATGAGGACAGTATGAAAAGGTGATGAGGACAGTATGAAAGAAGATGAGGACAGTATGAAAGAGAGATGAGGACAGTATGAAAGGGTGATGAGGACAGTATGAAAGAGAGATGAGGACAGTATGAAAAGGTGATGAGGACAGTATGAAAGAAGATGAGGACAGTATGAAAGAGAGATGAGGACAGTATGAAAGGGTGACGAGGACAGTATGAAAGGGTGATGAGGACAGTATGAAAGGGAGATGAGGACAGTATGAAAAGGTGATGAGGACAGTATGAAAAAAGATGAGGACAGTATGAAAGAGAGATGAGGACAGTATGAAAGGGAGATGAGGACAGTATGAAAGGGTGATGAGGACAGTATGAAAGGGTGACGAGGACAGTATGAAAGGGTGATGAGGACAGTATGAAAAAAGATCAGACGAGAAGGGGAAGGGTGGACGTGAGTTCGGCTATCAACATCAATCAACACGTACACACAGCTAAAATGAATGACTAGAGAACCGACTGGCAAGAAATCTAGGAAAGTTGAATTTATTTGATTCTCAAGAAATGCAGAGAAATTGCTGCAGTAATGACAAATTTAACAGGATACAAAAAACAATTTAGAATCGCTTGAATATACTAAAAATAGATATAAAGTACCGGGTAAGTAGAAACACTGGAAAATGCTTGGAAAGGCTAATAAAGTAATAGCCAAGTACAAGCATAATCTTTAACCTTAAAAGTTTGGACATTAATTGTAAATCCTTTGCAGAAATTTGGTCATAAAATTCTTCCAATCAGGGAAAAGGAGATCCACAAGAACAAAACCTTACGTTTGAGAAAAATCTTAAAAACAGAGTGTGAGCATACTGGACCAACTTCAGTAAACTTCTACATTGTAATACCTACACAATTCAAAGATTTGATGATGAATTTAAAAAATGGTAGCACAGTTCACTACTCTATACACTGACCATGACCAAGCAAACCGGAATGCCTATGAAAAATAAAGAATAAATACATGATTAGATGACCCTTAACTTCTATAAAGAAGCGTGTTGTACAGTACAGGTACATCATATTGCATTTAACTACATGAAAAATCAGAGCTACATTTAAATCCTGAACAATGGTAATGGTTAACATGCAAATTTCATCTCACAAAGAAAACAAGATTTTATCCAGTTATTCTAAAATAAAATAAAATAAATTAATTATCCAATATTTGTTCAATTCAATCATATACCAAATTTCCCATACAAGCGTTATTCAGCATGCACTACTAGTATTTCCTTAAATTCCTTCTCACTAATTCCATTCAAGAAAAACAAACAGGTTAAACAAGACAAAAGCAAACAGAATTCTACATAAACTACATTCTTGAATAAGTTAATCGCTCTTTTGCATTCTAGTAAATGTTTCTCCAAAGACAAAAGTACAATATATTCAAAACTACAAGGAAAGTGACAAAAGACAGTAATACCATCTGGGGAAAAAACTACAAAAGGAATTTTATGTATCAACAATTCTAACTCAATCTCCTTGAAGAACCATAAAGGGGAAAAGATGCAATTTCCCTACAAAACACAGTGTAAACACAAAGTATACAACACAACAGAAAAAGATGTAGTCATTTGAACAAACTTTAAGTAGCTAACAAAGTCTTTTAAATACTAAGGTAGAGTAAAAATGTTTCTAAAACGGCCGCCTAGGGGAAAAGAATCAAAGTGGCCACTGAAGACAGAAGGTCTTTGTAGAAAGGTTCTACAACACACATATTCTACTAGATAGGGGCCATAATGAGTGACTACAGAAAGATGGCCCTTATAGAGAGGTGAACACTATAACAGTTTGGACTGTATTTGATTTGGATCAACAGACGTTCATTTGACACCAGGATCCATATACATAAAACCTTTAATACTAAGCTAGTTGTCAACTAATGACAAAGGCTATAGTACATAGTTTAACCAACTAGGCTTGGTAAGGTTCAATGAATATGAGCCCTAGGGCATGTTTCACAAAGATCCTAGTCAAACTTAACTCTAAGTTGGACTTAAATATTATGGAGAGCCATTTGTAGCCTTAAAATAAAATATATTCAAATACAAAATTGAAGTATCATAAATTACACATCAAGAACATGAAATCTCCTTGATAATAGAAAATATGAATGATTTGAATTGAACATTTTATGCCTTTTAACATAACTTTTACAAAATATTTTCAAAGATGCTAACAGCTATCCATAATTTTTGAGTCCAACTTAGAGATAAGTTCAACTTAGGATCTTTGTGAAACAGCCCCAGCTCTAGAAGTATGCAAACCCGTTATATATTATTACTGAAGAGAAATAAACAGGGGAAAGAAAAAAAATCATTAACGATGTTGGATTATTGAAAGATTGATGAGATGAATGTGGACTATGCATTGCCTCCGTTAGGTTGCTTAGCAAAGTACTTGAGTTTATCAGCCGGGTTGGGTATAATCTGAAAGAAAGAAAGAAATTAAGAAAAGGTTTTACTGATTAGTTTCATGCTGGTAGGTTACATCTAACATTTCAGTCGTCTACGGTAATCATTCTGGCAAGGAAACTAAGATACTTGCAGTCCCTTAAAGTACAACTTAAAGATACTATGTCCCTTTTGCAGCCAACATCAAATTCTGTAGAACTTTTTAGTAATTATGAATATGTCATGTATGTCCTATCTGTGAAATTTAAACGTTAGCAGTGTCCTAATATTCAAATTTGCAAGGAAACCTGTTTACTGGCTAGACTTCACTGTCAGACACTATTGAGTGACTGACTGGCTTTTTTTCTTCTTTGGTAATAACATACATAAAATAAGTTGTAAAGGGTACATCAGCATTTGTCTACATCAATAACCCACTTCTTATAAAGGCCAAAATTAAACTGATTGAATCTTTGCACAGCATAAAACATACGACCATTCATGACAATGGTCTGAAAATCAGACTATTACTTACTGGCTCTGTAGCTCCTAAGTCGATTTTACAACTAATAGTCGTTATTTACCCACTTAAAGACCTTTTCAAGCCCCCTTTTTTTTATCGGAAGTTCTAAATTAGTATTATCTTTCAAATGCCGTTGGAATTTAACCTTTTCATTTTTTTACCCTGCAAATGGACATAGTACCTTTAACAACAGTATCAAGACATCATCAAGCTAAGTAGATTAAGGAGAAGGCTTACAAGAAACATGGCTATGTCCTAAACACATATGTAATCAGTGGGGTAGCTGGGGGGAGGGGGCAATCGAATGGCCCAAAAATGAGAGCAAGGGGAGAGATGAAGGAAAAAGGAAAAGAATATGAGATAAGGATGTAGATTGTTCAATGTACTTTGTGAATATGAAGGGAGAAAGAAAGAAAATGTTGACGATAAATTCAGAGAACAAGAATATAAAGCAAAGAAGATGAATGAAGAACGAGGAAAAAGTAGGAGATGATAAAGAAGAAGAAGAAGAAGAAGAAAATGGAGAAGGAGAAGAAAATAAGAATCAGTAGGAAGGAGAAGGAGGAAGGACTTACTGTATCACTGCCTGGTTTCCATCCAGCTGGGCACACCTCTCCGTGTTTATCCGTATACTGGAATGCTTGAACTAATCTTAACGTCTCATCTACCGATCGGCCAACAGGGAGATCGTTCATAGTGATTTGGCGTAATACACCCTTATCATCAATGATAAACAATCCTCTGTAAAACAATCAAGACAACATTCCATATTAAAAACATCCAACTGAATTCTTGATCACTAGTATTAAAGGTAAAGACCAATTTTGGAAACGCCCCCCTCTAAAAAAAAAAAAATGGAAGCTCTTATTACCAATCATTTCAAAGAATATGTTTTGACTAATAGGTGATCATACAAATTTTGCCGAGAAACCGCCTACTTATTGATATATTTGGTAAATTATTATATCTATTTGGACCAGATAGATAAAGCACACGTGTCACACACGTGTGCGTAGTCCCATATACATCTTTCTGTGTACAGTGCTTGTAATTTTACCAAGACTGGGCCAAATTTCTTATTATTTTAATGATTCCAGAACCTGGCAGTAGTAGTACACACCAATACTTATATGCTAGATGATCAACCTTTTCTGATCGATTCCAAAGCGTTTCTTTCACAATGCAATCGCATGACCATAACTGGTCTTTACCTTTAATTCTGTAAATACATGTATCATATCAAAGCAAGATCTTACCTTAGAGTATGCCCTAAATCTTCCAGGAGAACTCCATAGTCTTTAGCAATTTGATGGGTAAGATCTGAAAGGATTGGCAGTTTGATAGGACCAAGACCTCCTTGTGTTCTTGGTGTGTTTATCCTGAAAATAAAATAAGCATGGTAGAATAAGGGTTTGATGATGCCATATCAGTTTGATGGGTAAGATCTGAGAGGATTGGCAGTTTGATAGGACCGAGACCTCCTTGTGTTCTTGGTGTGTTTATCCTGAAAATACAATAAGCATGGTAGAACAAGGGTTTGATGATGCCATATCAGTTTGATGGGTAAGATCTGAGAGGATTGGCAGTTTGACAGGACCAAGACCTCCTTGTGTTCTTGGTGTGTTTATCCTGAAAATACAATAAGCATGGTAGAATAAGGGTTTGATGATGCCATATCAGTTTGATGGGTAAGATCTGAGAGGATTAGCAGTTTGATAGGACCAAGACCTCCTTGTGTTCTTGGTGTGTTTATCCTGAAAATACAATAAGCATGGTAGAATAAGGGTTTGATGATGCCATATCAGTTTGATGGGTAAGATCTGAGAGGATTAGCAGTTTGATAGGACCAAGACCTCCTTGTGTTCTTGGTGTGCTTATCCTGAAAATACAATACACATGGTAGAAATAGGGGTACTTTGATGATGCCATATCATGTTAATTTTGCAGAACCAGGAAATTTAATGCGAAAAAAACTTTGACATTTTCTGTGAGTGGTCTAGATTTGTCAGATAATTCAATGCTCTTAATAACTGAATCACAACAATGAATCTAAGGAAAATCATAAAAGTCCACCCACCCCCCCCCCCCCCCACAAAAGCTAAGCCTATGGTATGTTACTTTGAAAATGGCAATATTTAACAATTCACAGAGTCACAGTACCATCAACATCATACAGCTGTGAAAGATTAAACAACAGGTTAACTATTTTTTATTTTAATTGTTATAAAACCACTTACCATATGCTAGTAAGGAACCCTTCTTTGCCATAATTTTTATAGAAACTTTCTGTATTTCAATTAAAGTAGTCCAAACTACCATATCCCCCTAGGAAGCAAACCCTATTTAATACCATAACTGCTCACATCCATACTCACCAGGCAAGATGAGTGAACTGAGAGTCAACAGAGATAGCAACCACCTCGGTGTTGATGGCTCTGAATTCATCAACTCTGTCACTGAAGGCAATGATTTCAGTTGGGCAGACAAACGTACTACACGAAAGATAAAACAACAATTAAAGAAGACAGCAATTATATATTAAACAGGGTAAGAAAAAATGTTCACAATTTTGTATATTTTCATAGAAAAATACTGGACTCTGTACAGTCTAACACACAGATTTAAGTTAAAGTGATCTATATTTGCTAGGTTTTGAACGTTCACCCTATATTTAACAGGGTAAAAAAAAAATGTTCACAATTTTGTATATTTCATAGAAAAATACTGGACTCTATACAGTCTAACACACAGATTGAAGTTAAAGTGACCTAGTTTGTTAGGCTTTAAACGTTCACCCTTTTTGAAGAATGGAGAAATGTTTGCATGTTCCTATAGTCTTCAGGCAGGGTACCGTAACCTGTTTCCAGTGATTTTCTGAACGATGTAAATAGGGCTGGTGCAATTTCTTGAGGACAAGTTTGTTTATTTAAAGTAATGCTTGCATTTTCATTATTTGATTAAACGAATTCGTTTTCACTGGCTACCTATCATTGCAACAAACAGAAGATCAGCCACGCACAAAGAAGACGAAAGACTTGATGTATGGCTGATCGTCAACGAAACGGAGTTAAGTCTTTTGTCAACTCTGTTTGTTGAAACAGCAGGCAGATTTATTATTGAATCACATAATAATTGTCAAGTTGAAACTTACAAGTCAAGAGGATAAAAGACCAGGACAAGGTATTTTCCAGCAAAGTCTGAAAGCTTCATAGCTTTGAATTCTCCCTCTACAACAGCTGTGCCTTCGAAGACAGGAGCTGGTTTGGATACTAGATAATAGAATTAAAAAGTGATGTTGGATAAAGGGTTTCATTCTTGTGCACAATTTAAGTTTACATGTAGGTTAAAGGTAAAGACCAGTATTGGAAACACCCCAATTTCAAAAAATGAAATGGAAGCTCTTATTAACGATCATGTGAAAGAATATGTTTAGATCAATACACGATGATAAAAATTTTGCCGGGAAACCGCCTACTAATTGATATATTTGGTAAATTAGTTTATCTAGATCTACATGGCCTGTGAGAGATAAACGCATGTGTCGCGCACATGTGCGTATAGTCCCATATACATCTTTCTGCGTACAGTGCTTGTAACTTTACGAAAACTGGACCAAATTTCTTATCATTTTGATGATTCCAGAACCTTGCAGTACACACCAATTAAAGAATGTTAGATGATCAACCTTTTCTGATCGATTCCACATTTCTTTCACAATGCAATCTCATGACAATAACTGGTCTTTACCTTTAAAGGTTAAAAATCTGTTTCTTCATATTCAGTTAATTAGTGATAAGCAATAACAGCTGCAAACTGAAATCTTCTGCAGAAAATAATAACTAATTTGGTGGATAGTGATTCTTTACAACTTTGGATGCCCCTGTGGATGCCCCTGACTGAGGCAAGCAAGATTATAAATCTAGATATAAAAATTAGACAGTATAGAAAGCGTCTGCCTGTCAATTATCCCAGGATCGAATCCCACCCAGGCGGATGACTGAAGCCTGCATTGTATGATAACGTGCCCCTTCTCTTATAGACTATTAAGTGGACAACACTGTCCCTTATTAGACAGGACGTTAAATGGAGGCCCCATGACCATCCATCATGTCCATGTAGATCTACAGGAGAGTCACAACCTTCGCATGTTAAGAACCCACTGCACTATTTGTATAAGATTAAAGAGAAACCCCTGTGCAGTGGTCCACCTGCAAAAGCTGCACAACCCAGTAATAGTTACTTGTCTGCCAAGCGCAAACCCCAGCCCAGAAACCATATTCACACGGGTGGCGTAGCCCAGCCCGCGCGCCCGGCGCCCGCGACCTACTACTGGAGGCACTGAGTGGTAGGAAAGCTAGAGCATAGACAGCTGGAAAACTTACTCTGAACTTTACTCCAATGTACTGCATGAGCAGTAGAGCGAGGGGTCTCTCCAGGATAAACATGGCCTCCTGCAAAACTGTGGCAAGCCTCCTCAGCTGCTACCAGTGTAGAAACTGCTAGAATCAAGCTTAAAATTCGAATCATCTTGGAGTTCATAAAATTGAACGGAGCGAGATGGGACTATCAACAACAGCCTGACCTGGCGCGCGCTGCTAGCTATATAGCTGCTGCATGCTGACGATGGCCTTGCCTGAGCTGCTGCGCTGGCATGCAGCTCAGCTAGCGCTGTAGCTACTCGAGGGAACGGCGCGGGGAAGTTCGCGTACGCGACGCTAATTCCTTCAGACCGCAGCGTGCGCGATAATGAGGCTGTGCGGCAATTTTTACTCAGATTCCCGTTCGGTGAAAAGCTCGCTTACAACGCTCTCGTAAAACACGAGACCAGCCACGGGATTTTGGTAGCATCATTTTGTCGGCCTCGTATGGCTTACAGTGTAATTCATCATGGCGGAATCGTGGGGTAAGTCAATCTCTGAAATTTTCGCTGTTCTTTGACACCAAATTCGCCCAAATTATTTAATTTTTTTCCTTACTTTTATCGCAAACAAAAAGAGCGTTTTTTAGTCCTCGGAAATTAACTACTCATTACATAGTGCCGTATTTTGCTAGTTCCTGACTGGTATTGATAACATTTTTTCGAATTTTTGCATCCTACGTCGACTTTGATAACCAGTCCATCGTTTGATGTTGAAAACACGTAGACGCAAGTAATGTTTGAATACGAAATATGCCCAAATTGTTGGACTATATTTTGGAAATCTACCGGAAGTAGACGGAAAATGATTCGAAACCGCGGGAAATTGCTATGGTTACGGCCTTTTAGTCAGGTATGGCCGGGTTTCTTGTGGATCGCTGTGCTATTGTGTGGCGCATACAGTAGTCCCATGTGTATATATTTTTGTCAGCTTTTTAGTTTTTGTTGTCGCAAATCGACAGCCAAACCAATGTAAATAAATCGACTGCGGACACTGCTCATTAGTCATTGCTATTTATTATAAATCTAGATCAAATGATATGTTTTAAATGTATATTTACAAGGGTTTAAACATGTTTAGACAAGTAATGAAAGGGGTTTGATAACTGTGATCGAATTGTAAAGAACTGGAATCCTGAGCTGAGCTTAGCTGGATATTGGATTTGGAATGACAAATTACAGGATAATTAATTCTATTAATTTGGGTTTCTCAAACTTTGGTTCTGCCTTCTGGTCAACTCAAACCTTACAGCCAGCCACAGAAATAAGCAGCATTGCCTTGTGCGAGTTGTATATATTATGATTATGAACAGAGCAAAATTAAAACAAAAAGCCAAAGTAAAAGTTAAACACTTACATTTTAGAACTTGTGCACATCTTGAAAAATGAAGGGAAAACTTCATGAATCTGACACCTGTAATTTGTTTTCATTTAAAAATTAAATTTGAAAGCAAGCTACTTTGATAAGTTCTTTTCAAATTCCCATACATTGAACTGAGCCATTTTATTCTTCTTATCATTTGTTGTTGTTTTTCTGACAGACGCACTCAACCATCAAAACTTGCGGGACATTGACAGACATCACACATCAGTCTCCATTGCATTCCTGGATCAACATTTGCTGGACTCCATGCCTTTGTTCATTTTAATGGTTATTTACTTCAAGACTCATCAGCAGTTTTGCTTCACGTTGGAACAAACAATCTTGAACGGGGAGTTTGGGAGGACGAGAAGGATTTTGTTCAGCTTAATCCTGTCAATAAACAAAAATCTCTGATACTTCCAAAGTTCCAAGGTGTGATTCGAGAGCTTCACACGAACAAAGCATTTATTATATTAATAGAAAACTGACTGAACAACAATCATTTGTTGTTGTTTTTCTGATGCACTCAACCATCGAAGCTTGCGGAACATTGACAGACGTCAATCTTCGTTGTATAAAGTAGCATTTACCGAGGAAGAAGAAAGAAGAACTGTCACCTTTATACAATTTAACAATATTTAACTCTAATAATACTTTTATTCTCAGCAACACATTTTATGCGTGTGATGGTCTCAATATAAATGTCAAAGTCAGTTCATAAATAAAATATAAATATTAGAAAATGCACACTTTATTGCTAGTCTTATCGCATTTATTATTAGTAGTAGTGTTAAATAATACATTTTTTGTTTAACCATTGTCCGTTTACTAGGCTATTCAGAAGAAACCAGAGCTGGCCTTCTTCTGGGTTAGTTAGCATAAATTTTGATTAAGAAATGTAAATCACACAGACCTGTTAAATAATAGCCCCCCCCCCCCACAAAAGAAAAACAATCTTTTTAAAAGATATTTTTTGCAGATTTGTATTTCATCCAGAAATAGTACCTACACAGGTAAATATAATATAAATAGTCAAGCATTGACATATTTTGATATGTTGGTGATGATGATTGTGATGGTGGTGATGGCGACGGTGGAGATGATGGCTATGGTGATGATGTCAGTGGTGAAGGCGATCATGATGGCTATGGTGATGATGATAATGATGACGGTGATTATGATAATGGCAATGGTGATGGCGATCATGATAACAGTGATCATGACGACGATGATTATAGTGATGATGGCGATGATGATCTTGATGGCAATGCTGATGGTGGTGATGATGAGGGTGATTATGATGGCAATGCTGGTCCTTATGGTGATGGTGGTGGTAATGATCGTGATTCGTGATGGCAATGATGACGGTGATTATTATGGCGATGATGATCGTGGTTACGATGATGATCATGATGACGGTGATTATGATGATGGCGATGATGATTGTGATGGCAATGCTAATGGTGGGGATGATGATGTAGGTGGTGACGGCGATGATGGTTATGGTGATGATGATAATGATTGTGATGGCGATGACGATTGTGATGATTTTGAAGATGAAAATTAGAATTCGACAAGTTTTATTTGAGCCCTTCAGCCCACCACACATTAATATTTCTAACCGAGGGTCAAACAAACCCCGAAAATAAATTTTCAGATATATATATATACCGAGGGTCATTTAAAAAAAAAAAAGTTTTATTTGAGCCCTAGCCCACCAAACACTAATATTTCTATCCGAGGGTCTTGAAAACAAACCCCGAAAATAAATTTTCAGATATATATATATTCCGCGGGTCACTTTAAAACAGAATCAAACAGAAAAGAGAATAAGGGAAAGAATTTTGTAATATTTTATTTCCAGGAATACACATGAACTGGAGTAACACAATTGACAAAAGAACTATGAAATAAAATATTACCATCCTCGAATGTCTGGGAATTACCCAAAGAAATTCCTGTTTAAGGCTCTTATCATTAGCCCACGGTTTACAAATATAAAAACATGTTTCAGAACTTTTACAACCATGATATTATTAGCAGGGATGGGAACAATCATATTTTCAATTTTCAATCACATTGCCCCCCCCCCCCCCCTGGAAAGTTTGTATTTACACAAACATACATTTCATAACGAATAATGTGTCTTCTTTGTTAAAATGATATCAAAGCCTGGCCAAAAATAGCCTATATAGACACTTAAATCCCCTTTTCTGTCCCTAGAGCTGGTATTCTATATTGTACTTGATTGTACTTGTGTGCGTATCTGTGTCCAACTTTGTACTTTCCGCTCACTTCTATAAGTAGGTAGCGCATGAATATCGTACACAATAATAAGTATGTGGGGCAGTACAAAACCTCTACTACCGGGGGTTACGCACACGAGAGTAATTCATGAGTATCCTTAATCTCCGTTTACCTTCCGTGCGTGTTCGCATATAGCGCGCAGACTGGTTGGACCGCGAATCGACGCAGAGCTTTATATAACGTGGTATCCCCCGGTTGATCTCGATGCGAAACGCTCGTCGATCGGCCATGTCTTATTTTCCGCCGAAGTCTATTATGCATCAGCTACTACTTTGCTAGTTCCTGACTGGTATTGAGACAGACATTGACAGGAAGTATAATATTATGTTAGAAAAATATCTACATTATGTGGTAAGCCAAAATTCAGCGAGACGCACCCCCGATAAAAATGGTTATTTAGCATGTATATCCGACTCTTCAAAAAAAAAAATTTGCAAGTTTTATTTGGTGTTTTTTTCACATTTTGAAACTTCACTTACTATTTATTGAATAGTACATTATAATGTTTATAGTTCTGGCTCAATATTCATGACGAATTCAATGTCATTAAATGAATCCTGAGCATAGCAGAAAGATGAGAACTGTGCCATGTTTTTGCTTATTACGTATTCATGAGGAGAAAAAACGTGCATACGACTTGAGTAAATACGTGCGATTTGGCGAGCGCTGCGGTCTGACTGTGGATAAGCAGACTTATCAGGGCCCAGCGCGCCTGTAAAGTGTTGCGATATTGATCCGAATCAATCAATCAATTTGCAGATGAAAAAGCGAAATGATTTTAATTCTTTTGCATCTGGGATCATTTTGCACTCCTGGGCAGTGGCGAATCCACGGGGGCCCGGCCCCCCTCCCCCTGTTAATTTTACAATTTTTTGGAGATGGCCCCCCCCCCGGCGCTCAAGGGGGGGGGGGGGTGCAATTTTTCGAGGCCCCCCCCCCCAAAAAAAAATGTGCTCACTACCCCCCCCCCCCCCCCCCCCCCCCCCAGGTAACATGTAACTTATTTTTCTTTTGGGAAATTTTATATTCTATTTTTCTGTTTGAACTTTACCATTGAAACAAAAGCTTCGAAAATAAGTTCTTTTCCCTTAAACCTACAGGAGTAAATGTAATATTTTAAACATAAACAGAGAAAAATTATACATGAGAGGCGTGTTTGTCCCTTGACTGTATCCCAAACAAATAATTAAAATTTGACAGAGTCAGATTACAACTGTGATCAGTGCCAGTGTTAATCTTATCCACCAATTTTTCCCACTGCAGTGGTACAACAGATACTTTTCTACAGTCACAAAACAAGTGATCTAAAGTTTCTGGAAATAATTAGCAGACTCCTTTCTCCCAATCTTGAACCAAAATGCATTAAAACCAATAGTATTACGGAAATTTTGAAATAAAAACTCCTTAACTGAGTCTCAATTGTGCAACAAAAGTTACTCGTATGAATATTCGACCAATCCTCTTTGGGTTGATGGCCAAAGAGTTCCTCCCATTTACTCTCTCTTTTGGCATTAGTACAACTGTATTTCTTTAGCAGAATATTGTATGTATAATTAGACATTTTCTTTTGACTTAATAGATCTTTAAAAATTCGATTAAATATATTCTCATCCACATTAAGAGAATTATCAA